ATTAATAAATAGTAAATGATTAAATAATAAGCAATAATATGGTTCACTTAAAATGGCATTTCTGGCGATTAAAGAGCAGAGCTGGAAAGTTGGTACAATTTTTATTAAGGACGTTTTAAAAAGATGCGAAAATTTCCTGTTGACTTTACATAAGGCACGTAGGTACTTTATTCACGTCGCACTAGAGTTGCACAATTGGCTATTGGCGACGGTTCGTGAAACATCCCTGAGAATGATCCGAGCACACGCCATCGCAATTTCGATCCTCTGCAGAGGGGATGGCTCTTCCGCTTTGGTAACCCAACGATCTCCGCGCGAAGTCGAGCACTTTACGGTAGAACAGTTTAACGAGGACCGATACCGCACATCCACGGTCCCTACGCAGGCTGTACGTCAAAGTCACCCACTCGCTTACTGACAGCAGCCTTTGGTGTTCTACTGGGAACCGTGTCTTTGCGATCAGTCCCCTGCAGGACGACTTAACATAAGTTTGTACGATGTGATAAAATTAAAAGTATTGAATTTGATATATTTTCATATCAGAATGTTCACTCCAACTATAATACTTTTTCCTCATACCAAAGGAGTTGGTGACTGATATCAATAGGTGGAAAAATATGACATTTAAGGCATTTAAAAGCCACATTTTGCAAGCTTTTTTTTTTACTTTGATTAAATTATAATTTTTAACAAATTCCTGTTAGAAATATTCTAAGGCAGTAAAAATTTAATAGAACAATAAAAATAAATTTCTGAAAAAATTTAGTTACGTATGCTGACTTTTAAAGAACATTGAGTTAAAATATTTGAGGGGGGAATATATTTAATTTATACATTACAACTTTGAAACATGTGAATTGTTAAAGAATTTTCCTTCTACATAATTCTTTCAACCACGAATTGATGGATTCTGAATTCCCAGAGTATCTTTTTACATTGAGTTATTTTTAAAAAAAAGTGATGAAAAAAAAGAACCAGTTGTCCATTAAGTTGTCCTTTTTCTTTCTTCATTTTTTTTTAAATTTTTTTATTTTTTACTTGCTACATAGTGAGTAGTTATTTTCAGGTCTAATGAAAAAGGTCAAAGGGTTTCGTAGTCCGAATTTTTTTCTTTTTTTTTTTTAAATATGTGATAGTTTGCTTGGTAGTGTTTATGAGTTAAACTCTTTTAGTTAATCGCCTGGTATTGATACCGGAATTTACCCATTGAATTTCATTGTAAAGGAAATTACAATTTCTTAAAAAAATTTTTGAATTAAGTAATTTAAATTGCAAATAATTATTCAATGTGTAATAGTTTTAAATTTAGTTTTTTTTTAATGTAGAGTTTAATTTATTTTCTTTTATAATTTCAGCTATAGCTCTTGATCTTCAAAAAAAAAATCCACTATGAAGAAACTGTTCGTTTTCCAAGGCAGAAACATCTCGGTGCCGATTCAATTTTTAGAAAGGCTGCTGGAGACTGCAAATGGAAATTGCATACTCTGATGGAAAGCTGAGAGTTCTAAGTTTGATCCTTACAGCAAATGAAGCAACCAGTGTGGATATACAGCAAGGTGCATTTTAAATCTTCTATGAACGAAAATCCGCAGGCTGATTGTAGTGTGGAAATTTTAAGAAAAAGAGGGATACTTCTTGTGTGTTTTTGTGTGGTACACATGCACACATTATTAACTCTTGCTGAATATTTCATTAAAACTTTCAAAAAAGCATTTAAAGACTGCTTCGAAATATAATTTCAAGTAGACAAAAACTTGCAATTGGAGGAATAAACTCAAATTGTATCTTCTAAAGTCATTAAAAAAATAATTTTATTTAATAACAATTATGTATTTTTAACTTGTACTTTACCAAAATATAATGGACGTTTATTTTAAGCAATGAAGGTAATGTATTGCATTTACAATTCGATGAAGTTTATTTTTTATAGTGTATTTTGGTAATAATAAAATTATTATGCTGTGAAATAGTTAAAATGTTTATTATGTTTTTTTTTATTCTTAATTACTGTGACGTGTGTAATTTCTTCTACGACTTCAACTTAACAAATCTTCACAATTTAAAAAAATGGGATTTGTCAGGCATGATACTTGTATTGTAAAAATAAAGTTAAAAATTTTTTTATGCTAGTGCTTAAGTGTTATGAAAGCAGTTACATGTATTTAAAATTTGGTTATTTTTAATTTTTCGGCATGATAACGGAATCAATTTTCTTTTAATGCCCATACTAAACTTGTAAGTCTTTTATTATCGACATTGTGATTATTACTTTAATTTTGGAAATTTTCACATGATTATTCCTTTGAAATTTGAGACAAAAAGTATAAGCTTTTTTGTTTTATATAACGTTTAAAATAATATAATTGTAAAATAATTATAATCATAAAAATTTCTTCAATTGACTTTATTTTAAATGAAGCTGCAGAACATTTACATTAGGTTAAAAAAAAAATTCCCAATCAATGTAGAAAAGAATCTTACTTAAATTCCTGTATATTCTTTGTGAAAACATGTTGTGCAATCGCAAAATATAGCTTTTTTATGGCTAATTTATTAATACCAGAAACATAATTGCATCTTTTTTTTTAAAAAAAAATTCCCGTTTAAGATGTTAATCTCTTATCTGCGAAGTACAAGCAGTGGAATTGGTTGATTTTAAGCATGAATTTTGTGATAACAGCGTTCTCAAAAAAGTAACTGATGGTAGTCAAATTTGGATCATTAATACTATAGGCGACTTAAAGTAAAAAAATATGTTATGTTTTTTCGCCTCATTCTTGTATACAATTAAATGTTAATGCAAATTTTTGGTTTTCGAAATTTAAATGTTACGTAAATTTTTCGGCTGAAATTGTTTTTTAGTACATAGTACCTTTAATTAATTATCGAATCATTGAAAATTTCTGATGTGCAAATGTAAAATTATTTTAACATTACAAAAAATCATTGGACATTTTTTAATATTAAAGGCTTTCCTGGTTTCATTCCCTGTAAATATTTCTACGGATACCTTTGAGTTTTGCTTCAAGTGTTAAGTAAAATTTCAGATACTGAAAGGAAAATTTTAAGTAAGTATTTTTCCATTTGATATTAGTGAAAAAAGAAAATTTTCCTCATTGTCTCAATTATTACAAAAAATAACAATTTAAAAATTCAAGAAATAGTTTTGTTTCAATTTTTTTGAAAATGTATGACATATAGTTATTTTAGGAAAGAAAAAAAAATTAACGTTAAAATTTCAACTCAATTCAAATGTAAATTTAACTCCGTAATTGCGCAGTGTGGTTTTTATTACCTAATTTTGGAAAATAAATAATGAATAATAATTGTGAAACTACAAATGGCTAGAGTTATTACTTCTATAAAACATGTTTTACAAACTAACAAGTTCAATTTATATTTTGAAATAGTAGGCTTATTTTTAAAAAAAGGAATAAAAAAATTATAATACATTTTAAAATTAAAAACTTGAAAATGATTAATGATATAAAGTTCGACCCATTGTACAAAGAAAAGAAAAAAAATCCATTATATGAAGAAAAGAAAAAAAGCCAATAGCAGTTCCACTATAGTATTATTTCTTAATTAAATGTGAAATATTTTAAAAAAATTAGCTGAACATAAGATATACTTTGGAGTAGAGGGAGTAAAAAGGTTGGTAGCAGAATTCGCTGATATGATTTTATTTAGTACTAACTAAATACCCGTTCTTCGCACGGGGCGAACCAGAAAGTAAAGAATCAATAAATCAGAGTAGAGAAACACTACGAAATCATGCTCATAATTGAAAAGCATGTACCGACACAATTAAAGAGCTTGATGGAAGAACCAGGTAAGTGATATTTTTAGGGGAATTAATGAATCACTGCTTTTGCCTTCTTTTATATCTTAATCATTAACATATAATCACATAAATTTTTAGTATGCTAGCATGATTTTTATTTAAAATTAGACGATAAGGCTTTATTTTTTAGGTAATTTGCTTTTATTTAAAATTAGGAACAATAAAGCAAAGGATTATTTATCACGCCTTCAACTAAATTGGAAATAAAATAATTCGAATACAACTTTTTTTTCATTCTGAAAATGTCACTTACCTGGTTATTCCAATAGTTTTTCAATTAATATAGTTTAAATAATTTCCTTTTTTTATTTAATGTTATATGCTGTAATCTTCGATGACTTTAAGTTATTGAAGTAAATAAAACTTGTTTTTTGTAGTTCATTCCATTAGAATCAAGATAAAATGTATTTAGCATCACTAGGCATGATGCTATTACTTGCGACCATATCATAATTAGCAAAATTTACCTCTGTCAAAGAATTTTCTCAGGTACACGTTCCTTTCGAAGGGCCGTAAAACTGCTCATAAAGTATCGGTATTTAAACTGCTTTATATTGGTTCTGTTTTAATCATCACCAAATCTGTCTTATTACGTAACCCTTCAACATTTAAGCTTTGTGTGAAATATATTTGTCAGTGACAGTCAACTAAAGCCGATTTTTTTTAAAAAAAGAAAGAATAGAATTCTTATTAGACCTTGATAAGGTTTTTGTAGCATGGCCATTTCTCAATCTGATCTTTAATTTACTGTTAAAATATTTATAAGTAGTGGAGAAACTTTATATTCTAAGTTATTAAAATATTAATAAACTATCTTTCCCACCGAAAAAAATATTTTCTGAAATTACGGATTCTGATAATTCTACAAGGATTTACGGGTGATGCTAACCAAAAATAATAAACGAACTTTTTGTTTTACACAAATGTAGCCAGATACTGGATAACACTCAAACTGTAGACTTTATTTATGTCATAATATTAATCTTCTAAAATTGATTTATTTAGGGTTCATAGCATGTTTGAATATGTGAATTGTTGCCATAGGTAGAGAGTTCTGCTGTACGCCACATGTAGTCCATTTTGATCACCAATAGAAGTTAAAGTTCTTTATTTTATAATTTCACGTGTTAAACTGGAAATGAATTCATTCTGTTTACAGAGATCTCTCCATAAGACTGAACTGAACTGAAGTCAACATCTAGTAGCGTTAAAAACAATTCATTTCTTTATCTGCTTGTGTGAAAAGACCGAGCGTTAAAAACATTTATATTTCCTCATTTAATTTCTATTTTAGGCATATTTAATTATTAGTAAACTAAAAATAATACGAAAATATACTTTTTACAATGGAAAACTCTACCGAGTAGTAATTTCCGATAGGATTAAGGTAGGATGGATATACAAAAACAAGTGCAATACGTCCATTTAAAGATTTGTTTACAAATTTGATCTGAGTGACAAATATTGAAAATCAATTCTAAGTTTTAAATTTATTCTATTGCTTTTTTTACGGAAGGAGAAATTCTGTCTTAAGCTTGAGGCAAATCTTTATAAAGGGTCATATTTTGGTATTGCGTATGAATGAGATTTACTTCCTGAAAAATAGTTAATACTTAAAAAACTTGCTTTTGTACTTTCAACGCAAATATAAAGAAGCAATCATATTTTTATGTTAAATGCACAACTATCAGAATTACATTACGATATTGATGAATTTTTGTCTTTAAAATACAGCTGTTATGTACCGGTACTAAATGCATGAAAAAATTCAGTTATTTGCCAATTTAGTGATTTCATTGAATCTCGATATAAAGCATTTTTTCTGTTTCGAATTAAATGTGTAGATTGAAAAATTCAATTGTTTGCCTACTTCACGATTTCATGGAATCTTGATATTAAACTTAATTTTTTGTTTAAAATATATGTATGAATGAAGCATTTTGCCAGCTGTGCGATTTCATTAAATATTAATTACAATATAAAACTTAATTTATGTTTAAAACTAAATGTATGACAACTGTACAGGAACTGTGCAAATAATTTTTTATGTGAAAATCTAAACAGAAAAGCTATGTGTACATTTTTATGTGTTAGATTAGCATTAAATTTAATAGGTTAATTTGTGGAATTTTTTAAAGAGGGATACTTCTGTGTGTATATCATGATCTATCGCGATAACTACAATTACCAAGGCGCGGAATGAATTTTGAACTTGCGAATTTTATTTATTTATTTAAAATATAAATAAATAAAACAAAAACATATACTAGTTTTTTCCTGTGGGTGGCCGTGAATTGAACCCTTCGAGTTGGTCCCCTTTTGGGATGTTGTTTTTTATTTTTTCACAACCACTGTTTGGAAGTTGCTTAATACTTAATGATTAATCTGCTGCAGATCACACTTTAGAAATCTTCCCTTTTAAAGTGTAAATAAGATGTATCTTATATTATTTCTATTTTATTAGATNTGCTTGTCAGTTCCCTACTGTACTAGTTTTCCTGTGGGTGGCCGTGAATTGAACCCTTCGAGTTGGTCCCCTTTTGGCATGTTTTTTATTTTTTCACTACCACTGTTTGGAAGTTGCTAATACTTAATGATTAATCTGCTGCAGATCACACTTTAGAAATCTTCCCTTTTAAAGTGTAAATAAGATGTATCTTATATTATTTCTATTTTATTAGATTTCATTGTCACTACAAATAAAAAACTGAATAGAGTTAAACTAAGCTGAGTTTAAGATGTGACTGAAAGCGTTATTTGCTTAAAGCATCACTCTTATTTATTCTATCATAATGCAAGACTGATATTTAAAAATCGAAAACAACTTTAAATTACAATGTAATGAAATAATTTCTTTCTCATTATAATCACATGTTGGTGTTTTAATTTACCATATTTATGCTGCTCTATACATGGTTGTGTTTTTTATGTCAAAAACCTGTTGAAAAGTGTCAAATACGGTCTTAATGTGTTGAAATCTGATAAAAACCTTTAGAAAGTCTATTATGTCATTGGGGATATATTATTAGAAGTCAATCAATATAACTGTATAAATCATGTCCAGGCCCTCCACACCAAATTACATATGGAAAAAAAAATGTTTTTATAACATATGCTAGGTATTTTGAACAAATTTACAATACTTTATATTATTAACTTTTAGTCTCTCAATTATATTTTAGGAATTCTTTAATAGTTTAGCTAAATTTAATTTCCTGGATGATGCACTTGATGAATTCGTGGAAAAGGACACAAGACATTTAACTTTTTAAAATTAATATTTGATCACTTGTTATATGACATTTTCTTCGGAAATTTATGACTTTCTTAAATCTTAACAGATTTTTTCCAATTGACTTATTAATTCTCAGGGGTTAAGTCAATTTTACTCTTTATAATTTTACAATACTGAAAATGATTATTTTGTTACATTCTGTCATTTGAATAAATTTATTTCCCACTTATAATATATAGATAAACTTTTATCTTTAGAGTGTCTAATTAAACTTCCATTTAAGTAATTTTGAAAACACAAAACAAGCCTATTATTTATAGTGATATAGGGAATGTCCTTCCGTTATCAAATATTACCTATACATCCCAACTATTTCACCTATTAGGTTTAGAAATTAATGTTCTTGCTTTCAAAGTCGAATTACTTATAAATTCACTAATTAATAAGAAACGGTTACAATTTTATTTCATTACCTTTTTAATGGTAATGGAAAGACAGAAAATATGGTAATGGAAAGACATTTATTTATAAACTGATTTAGATCTTAACTTTTAGAATCTTTAAAGTGAAACAAATTAATTTTAAGTTAGTATTCAAATTCATGAAACTTATAACTATTTAAACGGAAGTTTTTTAAAAAAAATTCTTCCAATCAAAATAATGAGATTTGTATAGTTAGAAATTGGGATGTTTGTGAAAATCATTTTGATACAAAATATCTAGATGTTGATGAAAAAAATTTAACATGCTTAAAATAGGAGCAGTAGGTCGCAGAAAATCAAAAATCTGTAACAAAAGGATATAAAGGCTTAATTAAAGAACGTCTTTATTTTCATAAAATGAAAATCTGCACATTTTTATGCTAGACTTACATCAAAAGAAAATACAAATTCTTTGAAGAAAGTGAAGAAAAAGCAAATGAAAAATCTGTCGTTGTACAAGTGGAAAATTTTGCAATTAAAATGCTAAATAAGGTCCAAGCTAATTGGCATCATCAGCAAATGCCACTTTTCAAACTTGGAACTTCTTTGCCATAAGCCATGGGAAAAGAGATGTTGATGGAATTGGTGGAATTATTTTTTTAAAATAATTATTAAAGGGTATTGTGTAAGAAATCATCTTGGCTGAAAGGTTGGTCACAACTGCAGAGGAATTTTCAAAAGTTGTTACAGAAAATCCCAAAATGTGAGAGTGGCATTTCTTTCAAAAGAAGAGATAAATTAATTCAAAGATCTTACAGAAAGATGGAATAATATCCATTCTCATTCTGATGTGCACTATATGAAACCTGAATTATGTTATTGAATATATTTTTTTCTTCTGAGTTGAAGAGATTTCATTATAAAAAGAACAGGCAAAGTTTAATGAATGATGCTACTGGTGATGGTATAGAAGAATCAAATACACCAAGCCATTAGAATAAGCCAAAGGATATATTAACAGTTGGACAATTTCTGATAGTACAGGGTGCATAGCATTTTTAAAAGGTGCTGATTTTCGATTTTTGTTTTTTAAAAAGCCCTTAAAGGTGCTTTTTTCATTGGGTGTTTTTAAAAAGTGCTTCATTTTTCCTTTACCATGTTGATTATTGCTATGAATTATGGAAAAAGATACAGTTCACATTGTTCTAATCAATGTTTTCACATTCAACCCCAATCTATTTCGGCGTGTTGTCAGCCCGTAGCGCCTGGAAACGCCATTTGTTTTACATGATTCAAAACTTCACAATTTTTGACGATTGTCAAAAACAATGCCAAAAGTTTTTTTCTTCTTTTTTGACATGACAGTTAAAACAAGATAAAACCGTAAATTGTCAAAAACTTTCGTACTCTGCCTGATTATGATATTTTTTGAAAGTGCTTAAAAATATTCTTTGAGTGCTTGAAAAGTGCTTTTTTTTTGTTGAATAATTTGGCTACGCACCCTGTAGTAGAGTAGAAAGGAAAAAGATAAAATTTTAAAAAATGATAAATAACTATGTTGAACAGATACTTTGTATAGAAAATGAATGTATAGAAATATCCTGTTTGAGAAAGCATGATTTTGAAAAAAAGATATTTATGTTTCCTGAAAAAGGAGATAAATACTGGTTTGTCTCTGATCAAATTATGCAGAAATTAGAGAATCCTGAAAGTGCAACAAATGACTCTGGTACAAGACTTTGCTGTAGATTTTAATTTCATAATGCCTTAGTAACTGAATGAATTATTGTAAATTGTAGGTTTAAATTTCAGAATGCCTTTTTAGCTAAATAAATTATTGCAAATTGAAGTTTATCATTTTGAACATTTTGTCCTCCTGTTACCATCTTTCTATTACCATTAAAGAGTACCTCATTTCTATAGTTAATATAATTATTTTTCAGAAATACTGTTCCAATTATGATAATAAAACCCTCCTTTATATATTCTTATTTTGTTCGAAATTTTTCTTTTTATGGCTTACCTGAATTTTTATGAAGCTTTTTTCAGCTTTTTATGTGATAATCATGTCGAAAAATGTCCTTCTGTTACCATTTTTTAAATTAGAATTTTTAAAAAAAAAGTTATGAACTGAAAATTCCTAGGTTTGAAATTTTTACTAATTAGTCATAAAGAGTATAAAAGTCTAAATATTTAATTATTGAAAAAAATGTTAAACATTTTTGGTTACAGTCAAAAACACATTGGTTTTGTTGTGCAAACAGTCCTTCCATTACTGCTGGAATTCACTTCTAAACAAGGTTTCAATTAATTTAAAATTTGCTGTTTTCTAAAAAATTATTATTTGATGTAGTAATTAAAAACCATGTAACTGATATTTAGACTCACTTTGAGGGCCCCCAAGTGGCTTTGCACCCAGGGCCTTATAATTTGTAAATCAGGCCCTGATTGGAGGGCCATCCCCAAATTATATGAAAGGTAATAGTTAACTTTTCTATTATTTCCAACATGTTGCACATATATTCAGAATTTGTAACTATTAGTCCTAGGTTTTTGTTTAGTTTATGATGCTTGTCATATCACAAGTTCATCCCTGTACTTCTATTTTTTATATTTTAATCTATATGAATCAACACTAATTTTTCAGTCTTTTAACAGTATTCTCTTTCTTTTTTAGAAAAATCAAGTTCTTTAGTAAAAGACCATCACCTTTCTTCAGCTATCATGGCTCATGTTGCTAGCCCAAAAAGATTTGGTCTAACTTCTGTTACTTATCCATATGCTTCACCTCAGCTTCACAGACCTGGCTCGGCTAAAAAATTAATTATAAAAAATTTCGAAAAACCAAAGCTTCCCGACAATTATAAGCAACAAACATGGGAAAAACTGAAAGCTGCAGTAGTGGCTATTCAAACATCCAAGTCTATAAGCACCTCACAAGAAGAATTATATCAAGCTGTTGAAAATTTATGTTCTAATCGAATGGCAGCTTTTTTATATGAAAATTTACGTGACCTCTGTGAATCCTACATTAAGGAAAATGTTCACCAATTTCTCCCTGAATCCATGGATAGCATATATTTCTTAAAGTTGATGAATGAATTTTGGCAAGATCATTGTAGACAAATGATTATGATCAGAAGCATATTTCTCTTCCTTGATCGTACCTACATCTTGCAAACTCCTGGAATAATTTCACTTTGGGACATGGGTTTGGACATGTTTCGAGTCAACATCCTCTCCAATTCTATCATCCAAACTAGAACAGTGGAAGGGCTTCTGTTGATTATTGGGCAAGAAAGAAATGGACAGACTGTTGACCGAAGTTTACTAAAGAATCTGTTGCGTATGCTTTTAGATTTGCAAATATACCAAGAGGTATTTGAGATTCATTTTCTTAAAACCACCGAAGAACTATATGCAGCAGAAGGGCAACGTTTGATGCAAGAATTAGAGGTTCCCCTTTATTTGAAGCACGTAGATCGAAGGTTGAATGAGGAGTGGGAAAGACTGTTACAATATTTAGATCAGGCAACTAAAAAGCCACTCATTCAATGCGTTGAAAAGCAACTTATTGGTGAACATTTAACAGCCATTTTACAAAAAGGACTAGATCAACTTTTAACAGAACGCAGAATACCCGATTTAAAGCTTATGTACGACTTATTTTCTAGAGTTAAAAATGGCCTGCCCCAGCTTTGCTCCCACTTTAACCAGTATATTAAAAAACAGGGAAAAGTTATTGTCAGCAATCCTGAAAAAGATAAAACTATGGTACAAGAACTATTAGAGTTTAAAGATGAAATGGATGTCATTGTGAATCAATGCTTTCAAAAGAATGAAAAGTTCCTGAATACATTGAAGGAAGCTTTTGAAAACTTTGTGAATCAAAGACCCAATAAGCCAGCTGAGCTTATTGCCAAATTCTTAGACGTGAAACTACGGGCTGGAAATAAGGAATCTACCGAAGAAGAGTTGGAAATGCTTTTAGATAAAATAATGGTATTGTTCAGATATATTCATGGAAAAGATGTTTTTGAAGCTTTTTACAAAAAGGATTTAGCAAAAAGATTGCTGGTCGGAAAGAGTGCTTCGGTGGATGCAGAGAAATCGATGCTCTCCAAGCTTAAACAGGAGTGTGGTGCTGCTTTTACTAGCAAGTTGGAAGGCATGTTTAAAGACATGGAAATTTCAAAAGAACTTATGATTGCCTTCAAGCAACATTTGGTAAATGTAAAAATGCCCGCAAGCATAGACATGACTGTTAATGTACTTACAATGGGATATTGGCCTTCTTACCCACCTATTGAAGTACAAATGCCAACTTACATGATAAAATATCAAGAAGTGTTCAAGAAGTTTTATTTGAACAAGCACAGTGGTCGCAAGTTGTCTTGGCAACCTAGTTTAGGCTACTGTGTTTTAAGAGCTACTTTTCCAAATGGTAATAAGGAGCTACAAGTATCCTTATTTCAAGCATTGGTTTTATTGTTATTCAACAAAAAGGATTCTTATTCTTTTGAAGAAATCAAACAATCCACTGCCATCGAAGATGGTGAACTGAAGAGGACTTTGCAGTCTCTAGCATGTGGAAAGGCTAGGGTTTTGCATAAAAATCCTCGCGGTAAGGATGTTGAAGACGACGATAAATTTCTGTATAATTCTGATTTCAAAAATAAGCTGTATAGAATAAAGATTAACCAAATTCAAATGAAGGAAACACAGGAAGAACAATCCATTACACAAGAACGAGTTTTCCAAGATCGTCAATATCAAATCGACGCCGCAATTGTCCGCATCATGAAAACAAGAAAAACTTCGTCACATAATATGCTCATTACGGAGTTGTATGAGCAGCTTAAATTCCCCGTAAAACCTTCTGAATTAAAGAAACGCGTAGAAAGCTTGATAGACCGTGATTATTTGCAACGTGATCAAGAGAACACCAATCAATATCATTATGTTGCTTAAATCTTTTTTTTTCTAACCAATTATAGTTTGAATGCTATTAAAATGAATTTTAAATCACACAAGTTTTATTACATTGACTGTAAAAAAAAAATATTTTCGTTGTAGCTGTTACAAGGTTTTGTATGTAAAGTGTAAATAAACTCTTCTCTAGAACTGATCCTTAGCTTATTTTAAAATGTACTCAAAATTTGTTGTAACATCTATTTTAAGTTCTAATATTACTCAATATTGTGCTGTTTGACTTTTGCTATTTGATTAATTTTAGAAATTTTTTTTATACTTACATTAAATCTTAGTATGGTTTTTCAAAATGTAGTGCTTTGATAAATGTACATTAAAAAAAAGACATGCCACTCTTACTAGTGAAAAATTTTAGAATGTTATTTATGTTAAAAAATTATATATTTGCATTTAATAGGCTTTTTTCTTTCTTTTTTTAGCGCATTATTTTTAACTGAAAATTGGCTGTAGATTTTGCGCAATAAGAGTTTCAAGTTTGATAATTTTAATACATGCGAAATAAAAATGACATTTTGATTTCTATTCTTTTTTTTTTTCAAAAGAAACAGCTTCAAAAATTTAATTTTATTAATGGAAATTTTTTTTATTTTATAATTTCCCTTGTTTCAAATATATAAAAGTTATCTTGAATCAGCAAATTTTATTGCAATATTTTTACTACAAATTTTATTGCAATATTATTACATACTAGCCAAGTAGCAGCTTTATTTAAATGTTAACAAGATCAATTAAGAAATACTCATTGCAACACTCTATATTTTTTTCAAAATTCCTTGAAGTTACTTTTGCCGACTGAAAGTGTGTGATGTCGAAAGACTATAATTGTCCTTTCGGTTGAGAAAGCCGTTTTCTAGAAAGAAGACAAAAATTCTATATTAACTTGTCTAAAACTACGCTTAGTTGATTCAAAGTATTAAGAGTTCTATTCCCCTACAATACCGAAAACTATGATGAAAATTGGTTTATTATTAAATATTTTATGCATATATAAAATCTATATTTATATTGCTGTTCCTTATTTACTTTGTTTCAATTATATGTACTGTTTTGTGCATTTCTAAAGTCATTTAAGAAAGAGACTAAATTCATTAAAATTTTGTGAATTTTTCTAGTTTATATTCTTGTTGAATAAAACTGAAGTGATAAAAAATATTGATTCAAGTCTAATAAAACTGAATAGAAAAAAATCCTTTGTATACTAGTCTAAAAAAAATTGTCAACTGCAAAGAAACAATTTTTATTTTTGTTTAAAAATTAATTTTAATTCTTGTCTTGATAAAAATATATTGATGCGAAAAAATAATTATATCACTCAACAGTTATTTCCATTTTGCTTTAAACTCTAAAAAATAATATTGTAAAATGAAAATAAGTTGAGACATCAAAAATTCAACTACTAGAATACAGAGTTATTGGATATTACAAAGTAACTTAAGAAAAGTTGTGATAACAGTAGAAAAATTAATGAAATTTCATATAAGAGTTTTGTTTAAAATTTTTTTTTTTTTAAGATGTCAACTAACATCGTTTTGGTATTACCAAATAAATATTTTAATTAAGTTGTAAATTCTCCTTTTTAAAAAAATCTAGATTTTATGAAAACTGAAAGCTATTACTAGATAATAGAATTATGAGTAACAGCAAAAATAAATTCTAGAAGTATTGACAAATGAATTGGAGTTGTTTCGATTGTATGTTATAATTTTTTTTTGAATTGTATCTGAAAAAAGTGATGCTAAAAATGTTAAGTCTAATTAAACGACTGATAGGAAACAATATATATTTATAAATGAGTATTTTCATTGACTTGTCCATTTTAAGCTTTTAAAAATTCTATTTTCTCTGTTAATTTCTCGGATTTTTTTAGTTCTCAGGATGTAAATCTAAGAGTTTATTTTAGAAACTGGGGTAAAACTTATTACATACATTTACATTACATTTTAAAGAAACAGAGCCAGTCAACACAGTCTTTTTCTTTTTTACATAAAATGCATATTTTTCTCTCTTTTGAGGCAAAATTATGAACTGAATTCCAATTCAAGAATAATTTTCTTTTAATACAAACAATTTTTATTTAATTTTTTTTAATACAAATACAAAATTAATACAAACTATAATTATAAATGTAACATGATTTACGAAAAATGAAATTTAATTCTGACATAACTTAAAAAATATTTTCTTTTAATTGTAAATCCTGATTGAAAATAATTGTTAGAACACTAGACTTTCTAATTTTAACCATCTATTAAAAATGCTTTGTATGTACAGATACTATAATTAATACAGTTTTATAAAAAGTAAATAAATCTTTCAATATTTTCAAAAATATTTCAGGAAAATTTCTGTGTTTTTCAATCTTGAATAGAGATTAGTATTAGTAATGTGCTAGAAATGATGATGGTGGAAATTTTTTAAAAATTTTTACTTTCTCAACAATATAATTAGTAATTCTTTACAGCTTATAGGCATGCTTTAATTTTTTTTAAAATTGCTAAAATTAGGCAAAATTATGTTTGTAATTTTTGAAAAAATCCACGAGTATCGACACAGCCAAGCCAGTAACTTGTTATATAAACCCATTGACATATCTGAAAACAAAAAGATTGTTAAGAGGATTAATTGTCAATATGCCCTTTTCATTAAAGATTGTAAAAAATATTTTGTTGCTAACTTACTTCAAATAATTGCTTATTTTTTCTGATTGTCTGTGCTGGTTTATGTTTGATTCCCTGTTGCAAAAAACAAATTTGTTCTGCAAAAAAGCAACTAGCTCACAAAAATTGCTCATTCATTTGTCATATTTTTAAATGTATTCATTAATTTTCTTCCTTTTGTTGGAGTTATCAATTTAGTCAATAAAACTGAAAATTTCATTCTTTTGTAAGATATGTAAAGATGCATTTCTAATCAATTTAATAAAATGAATTCTTTCTCAAATTAAATGAAATGCAAGTGTATCTAAAATTGCAATGTGCTTAGTTGTTATAATAGAGAAGTGTTACATAAAAGAGGATGCGTGTGTTGGTTTTATATATACGTGTTGCATTACTGCACATTTCTGAAACTCGGTTAATAAAAAGTTGTTTAAAAGAGTTTTATTGTAGTGCTATTTCATTTATCTTAATAACAATTTCTTTGACAACACTTTCACAAACATACACCCTCGATAAGTTTTTTTTTTAAAAATAAGTTGTAAGCTTTCCTTTTTAAGTATTATGATTAGATTTCTGTTATCTACGATGCAGTTTTAATGGTTTGATTGCCAAGCCTTAAATATTCTAATTTTTGTAGATTAGGGATGGGCACATAGCGACTTGAAGGCTACATGCAGACCACTAGCAGTTTTTTTGAGGCCTGCTAAGGTAGTCAGAAAATTTCCCCTTGAACAGAGGTGTGGTGGAGAACTACAGCCGATATTTTTGATGAAATTCTATTTTCGCCAAATTTGCAGGTTTTTTATTCATTATAATTTTTGTTTATTTCTGTAATTTTCTGAAAATTGGTTTAAAAAAACTAAGTTTTGTCTACCTTATCATTTCATGCTCCATATACTAAAGCTTATTGTGAAAGGTCTACTTAAAAACAACAAGAGTAAAATTAGACACTTTTCGACAGACATTTGCAAAATCTGATAAGAAATTTCAATCTTAAATGCAATAAATAATATGATAGAGTACATTATATAGTATCATTTAACTGATTTAAATTTATTTGTAGCTATAAGTGCACTATTAGCACTTGAAAAATAAAACTTCCACTAATATTTTTTATTTGTATTAGTTTTTTTATATAGTTTAACCTCTTTATCTCGAAAACCTCTATATTTCGAAATTTCTAAAATTCCATACATTTACTGTCTATAATCCATGTTTATGTCTACTTTTTTTCTTCTCAAAACCTCCGTTTCTCGAATTTCTAATACATAATAGAGTACAAATGTCAAAACTTTCTGTATCAGTACATCTTGCAACGGATATGAATTATGTGAACCCACAGGAAGTAGGGACTTTCTTTAACTGGAAAAGAATACAATGATTCTGGCTTTAAGTGAGGAGTTAATGAGTAGTGACCAGACCACCAGGGTTAGCTTTTCAACATAAATAAGAAAGCTAAGAATAGAAATTCATTTTCACCTCAAAATTGCAACCAAAGGATAATTAGGAGTTTTAAAGTGAACTATAGAAAACAGTTGGTATGCCAACTTGTAGATGCCATTGATGAAAAAAAGTTCTTCCAAAAATAAATGCTATCAGAATTACTCTTTTGCATGGAGAAATGTGTCTCTAAAAACTATCCAAAATAGTTTTAAAAAACTGGTTTTAAGAATAGCTGCGAAGAATGAACAAGAGGTTGAAAGCATTAGTAAAGAAGAAACTGTTGACACTAAAAATACAGTGCCAGAATGGAATGAAATAAAATCTGGATTTAATGTTAACATTAATTTTCAAGAATTTTACAAGTGTACAACTGCCTGGCAACATACGAAACATTGACAGATGTGGAAATCATAGAAAATGTCAAAGGAATATCAGATGATGAGGAAGAAGCTGAAGATCATATTGATGAGCTAAAAGTGAATGCAATAAAGGTAGAAAAAGCTGTAGAATTCTAATAAACTATTCTTGAATCCCAGGAAAACGATGGCTATGAGGGATTTGCGCTCTTCCTAACCTTTAAAAGAATAATCGAAACAATGTTAAAAATATTTAAAAAATTACTCTCAGTATAAAATGTATGCTAAAAAAATGGTTATGTAAATAGATGTATGTAATATAATTAATTTGAAGAAATGTCTATATTTTTCTTCTAAAAACAATTAAAGCACTTACAATAGAATTTCTTAATTAAATTTTTTTAAAGTATTTGTATAGCTCGAAACCTCTTTATCTCGAATTTTTTTACCTTTCCCGTGAGATTCGAGATAAACAGGTTCAACTGCAGTAGAATTCATACCTTTTCTGAAGAGTAATGTTAACTATTGATTGCGATATGCAATTATTTTAAAAAGTGCAGCACTCCACTAACCTGCTTCCACAAAGTGGTTCTGACCCGAAAGGTGAATTAAATCTGGCAATGATTACAGATTGTTGTTTGTTAAAAACTAGCTACAATAATTTAGTATGTAATAGTATTAACGAGATTTAGTAATCAAAGTTTCATACAATAGTTTGTGAAGGTAGCAACTATATTCTTAAGAAGTATTGGCATTACACAGGAGTGGGAAATTTTTTTTTTAATATAAAGGCACAGTTTGAAATCTTCAGGGGTGATTATGAGCCCAAGTCAAAACTCCGGAANGGTAACTCCAGGATCACTGTTACCGAAAAATCCGGATTTTTTCCAGAGCACAATCAGCCCTGAATCTTTAAAAATCTTCCTAACATTTGTTAAAAGCATCAGTTGAACTGAAATAATACAGTGTAAGCAAAAAAGAGAAATTTTGTAGTTCACATGAATAACTTAGTTACAAGACTAATATTGCTGTAACAGAGTTGGAAATATTTTCTGAGATTTTGCATTTTTTAATTAAAACTTAGAAGTCCTTCTTGAGTAATGGCTTTTTTAAACTCTTTTCTGTTGGTTAGCCCAATCCAAAATGGGCTTATGTCTTTATAGATTAGAAAACATTTTAGTCTGGAAATCTGACTATTAATAAACTGAAAAGAATAGAAACTATATCTCGCTTCAACAATGTAATGTATCAAAAAACTTAAATTATTTGATTTCTAGTATGTTATTGTTTTAAAAAATTTATAACACTAAAACGAGTCAGGCTGATTCTTAAGCAAAATGATATCTTGAATATATTTTCTCTCTCTTCACCTACCATTTTCTGAAAATACCTTCACTTTATGATAATTTTAAAACTGCGAATTTAACTTGAAAGGAAGGAAGAAATATATTGTTCCAAGTATTAAATTCCTTTTAAAAAAAAAGTGGTAAACAAGAAGATTTGTAGCAAAGAAGTGAATTTGTTTCCCATAAAAGGATGCTTACTGTGGGAGAAACGCCATGGCAAATTCACATCCATCAAGAATTTTAAGAAAAGAGAGTTCAGGTGAACTTTAAGAGGACGCCATACTCTTTCATCTCCATTATTAATATAAAATAAAGAAAAAATTAGTTCAGGTAAGCCTAGAGTAAGCCATGAAGTTTTAATTGCTGAAAAAAAAATGCTAACAAATTATCGGAAGAGAACTTATCCATTGCGTAATNCGGCTTTTTGTAGAGATTCAGAAAATCGGAAAAATCAGTTATCCGGAATAGCGATGGTCCCGATTGTTCCGGATAAATCGGTTCCCTACTGTATTAAATTCCTTTTAAGAATCAAGGATGTGAAAAGTGGTAAACAAGAAGTGAATTTGTTTCCCATAAGAGGATGCTTACCGTGGGAGAAACGTCATGGCAAATTCACATCCATCAAGAATTTTAAGAAAAGAGAGTTCAGGTGAACTTAAAGAGAACGCCATACTCTTTCACCTCCATTATTAACATAAAATAGAGAAAAAATTAGTTCAGGTAAACCTAGAGTAAGCCATGAAGCTGAAAAAAAAAAAAATGCTAACAAATTATCGGAAGAGAACTTATCCATTGCGTAATCCTTATTGTCTTATAATTTATTTTTATTTAGATATTTTAAAAATTTCTCTTCAGTAATTGAAATTTCATGGCTTACTCTACATTTGTCGGTACTCACTTTTTTTATACATACTTTAAATTTGTCATGGAGGTACGAGAGAATTTGCGACGAAATATTTCTCCCATGGTACGCTCTTAAAGCAGGGCTCCCAACATGTTTCGGTCAAAGAAAATGGGGAGGGGGCATTTAAGAAGAGGACTGCAGACGACCATTTATAAATAAAATAAATTATATTCAGATACCACAACAAATGATTTAGTTAGTGTTTTTAAGATTAACATCAAAAATCAGTTAAATTCATTTAGGCATAGGATTCTGCTAACAAGATAGAAATTTTACAATGAGTTTCTTAACTTACGAATTTTTTTCAAAGAACACTGATTTTTGAACTGCTCTCTTGGTTGGCGATTTACAAAAAAAAAAAAAATCTTACAAAAAATAAGAAATTTACTCAATAAAAATTCTATGAAGTCTGATCCTTGTGTAAGTTCTCAATACTTAGTTAATATTGCAGATATTTAAGACTTGCAATAGATATTGTGTAATAATTATGAAATAAGTTTCTTAACTTAGTAGTTATTTTCAAAGAACACTAATTTTGTAACTGCTCACCTGGTTGGCATTTTACAAATACAAGTATAAAATTTTACAAAAAAATAAGAAACTTAGTTAATAGAATGAATTCCGATCCTTGTGTAAGTTCTCAAAACTTGTTAAATATTGCACATATTTAAGACTTGTTACAGATATTGTGTAATAATTATTTAAAAAAAAGAGAAGTTATTATTAGAGTATTTCTTAAAGCTTTTTTTTTTCGAGAGAATTTACACTTACAATTTCTATCTTTTATTGATTTCATCACGTCTGTACAATTATTGCCTCTCCCAAACACCCATTATGAACAGCTTTTTTCATTAGATATATTATTTATTGAATTTAACTAAATTGATAGTTGAAATGTGTTGTCAATTAAGCAGTTAATAAACACTTAAGTAAAATCATATTACTTATGTAAATTAATGAATGGCCTTAATAAATTTTGGCTAATTGTTGTGAATATTTAATTGGATATAATCATAAAGATTAAAAAGGTAAAAGTTATGAAGCAGTGAAATTTCTTAAAACCTGATTAAAAAATGATATCTCAATTTGTAATATTTTGAATTTTTGATTTATTTTGTAATTTTATTTTTTAAAGCATGTTAAGAAACAATCAAAATTTAGTAAATACTCTTGAAAAATTTTTTTTATTATTGTTGAACCAATATAATATTGCTTATTTGTAGCAAAAAAACGAAGAAAAAGAAAAGCTGAAACTTGTAGAAATTAGAGAAAAACTGCAAAATGAGAAAAAGAACAAATATTACAATCATTTTTAATCATTTTTTCCTACAATTTAAGGGAGCAAATTTTCATGGACACAAAAATGTCCATATTTATAATTTTTAAGTTAATTAAATTACTCATTTCAAACATCAAGTAATAAATAAAAAACTTTTTTTGAAAATAAAAATTATCAGAATTTTTTTATTTACACATCATTTATAGAAAAAAAGCCCGGTCAAAAAATGGAAGTCAATCAAATGATTTAATACATTGATTTATCAATCTGTATTTTGTGACGCAAAAGTCAACTAGCACTATTATTACTTATAGTTGATGAGAATTGAAAATCTCTTTAAGCTTATCATGTTATAGATTAAAATCCATTGAGTTTTCAAAAGTTATCTTTAAACACAATACCAAAATATTTATAAAAAAAACAGCAAAAAAAAACCTTTTCACTAACTTAATATGCATAAGATAACTTGGAATTAACATCATATTAAATGAATTCAAAAGAAAGATTTTTATAAAGTCAATGCTAATCAAAAGAGAAGTTACCAATAACAGGGTATCTGCTACATTTTAGATTTTCAAATTCATGGCTTTCCATAACTAATTCCAAGAACTTTTCATGACCTAACGAAGTTACTATTTTCTCCAACAAAAACACAACAATAAATTAAAAAAAGCATTATAAGAACATTAATTGAAATGATAGGTATAACCAAAACTGTTATACCGTGCATCTTCATATTTATAGATTTTAAACTTAAAAAACAGAGCCAAGAGTTGAAGCAATAAAATAACTGAAAAAAAAATGCAAAAGCAAATAATTTTTTCTTCTTTTTTTCTGCAGAATTACATTCTAAAGATACTTTTCTTGTACATCGAAACGAAAGAAATACTCCTGATTTTTCTGTTCTCATTAGAGAATAAAAAAATTCGCCAATGACTGGCTTGCTTCAGCTAGAATTTTAAGTTGCTAAAATAAAAAAAATAAATAATAACAAAAATTCTGAAATCACAGAAGTTTAAAAGATAATTCGCTCCAGAAATGTTTTTTCTTTCAGGGACACCATAATTTTTAAAGAACATGATAAAAACATTTTATATATTAATAAATTATGACTGAGTGGGGATTTTGTTACAAATTCAGTCATTCAGAACACCATGAAATAGGAGGAAAGGGTAAATTCCATTTTAAAAATTAGACTAATCCATTATCCTAAATCCATGACTTTCCATGATTTTTTTTAAAAAATAGTTAATCATGACAAATTTTGTTCAATAATTTATGACTTTCCAGGTACGCAGATACCCTGCAATAATGAAACATAAAATTATTTTTACGATAAACTGGAATTTAGTATTTCAGCAATTATTCTCTTTTTCAAAACAATAATTTAATTTTAATAAAATAATAAAAGCATTTCTTTTTTTCTAAAAATTGAATGACAATTTAAAAAGAAATTTTTTGAAAACTTAAAAACATCAGTATCAAATAAATTTTTTTTCTCAAATTTTATTTCTATAAATAACTATAAAAACGATGATACCATATATACACATAATGAAAAGATGAATGATAATGTTTATAACCAATTGTAGATGGAATACTTTCCAATTACGCACTAGGTACTTGGAGAAGCTCATAAATTTGAGCTAAAACAGCACGCTGTTCACTATCTTCAGCACAATACATCTGAAATAGTAATAAAATTTTCATTTTAACAGATTTTATAAAAAAAATTGAGAGTTTGTTCATGCTAATATTTTGGTTTATTATAAATTATGCATACAAAGAAAAACAAATAAATTATTCGTAACTGATAAGTTCTTGGACTACGAATGAATTGTTATTATTTCATATACAGGGTATCTGACACATTTTAAATTTTCAAATTCATGAGTTTTCATGACTTTCCATGACTAATTCCAAAAATTTTTCATGACTTTACGAAGTTACTATTTTCTCTGACAAAAACACAATAGTATATTTAAAAAAGAATCATAACAACATTAATTGAAATTATAGGTGTAACCAAAACTGTTATACTCTGCATCTTCATAATTATAGATTTTTAATTTAAAAAACAGAGAAAATAAAGATTTGAAGCAATAAAATAGCTCAAAAGTAATTTTTTTCTCTTTTTTCCGCAGAATTAAATTCTAAAGATACTTTTCTTGCTCAAGGGAAAGGAAAGAAATACTTCTGATTTTTCTGTTCTCATTTCGGAATAAAAATAATTTGCCAATCACTGGCTTGCTTCAGCTACAATTTTAAATTGATAAAATGAAATAATAAAAATTCTGAAATCACAGAAGTTTAAATAATAATTTGTTCTAGAAATGACGCTTTTTTGCTTTTCATTTTTTGAGAGAACACAATTTTTAAAGAACATGATAAAAATATTTTATATTATAATAAAATATGACTGTGAGTGGGGAGTTTGTTACAAATTCAGATATTCGGAACACCAACATATTGGGGGAGGGGTAAATTCCAGTTTAATAATTAGAATTTTTGGCGACCTAAATTCATGACTTTCCATGCCTTTTTTTAAAAAAATAGTTAAAATCATGACAAATTTTGTTCAATACCAAAATTCATGACTTTCCATGATTTTTCATGACTTTCCAGGTGCACGGATACCCTGCATATAATTTTTGTAGGATTAGACCAGCAACTCCAAACAGTTTTTATTTTCATATACTATTAACAAATCCAGATTCAAAAAATTTAATAAACAAACATATTTTTTTCAGATACAAAGAACTAAAAACATTACCTTACATACATTACAAAAAGTATGAGTAAGGCAACCTTACCTTACATACAAGATGTACAGAAAGTATGGGTAAGGCAAAATATCACTAGAAATATGTAATAGTTTAGAAAAATAAGAATACACAAGTGAAATAATTTCTAAGGATGCATTCACTGATACTAAAGTTGGCCTCCCACTTCATCCCCTCAAAGAGGGACAGGGGGCGGTATTGAAATTTTAAATAAAAACCCCAATTTAGAAGACTAGTTTTTGCACTTTGTTTAGCGGATGATGCGATAATTGGAAAAACCAAAATGGGGTACAAATGAGTTAAAATCTGTGGTGAAGTGTATGTCATTATATAATTAGGGTTCGTTGATTTAAATCAACTTGATTGTAATTTATGATGTTTTTGAAAAGAAATCACTGTTTTTAAAACGCAAACTTTTAAACTTATCTTCTAAAGAGAAAATATGTTTTTAAAGAGAAATCATTGATTTAAATCTCTGGAGAAAGACATATCATAATATAATCAGGGTTTGTTGATTGAAATCAACTTGATTGTAATTCATGATGCTTTTGGAAAGAAATCGCTGTTTTAAAGAACTTACAAGGCATTGTAATGTGAGATTATTCAATTTCTTTTTTTCATTTTAATAATTTTTAAACTTATTGTAAATATAATGCTGTTTAATATAAATAATTGCTCTGTCAATCAGCAAAGATATTGATATTTTAAAAAACATACAATTTAAAGAAAAAATTATTTTATATGGAATAAAAAAACCTATTTCAGAAATCTAAAATGATCAATTCCGAGTCCCTTTTCTTAAAGTTTTTTTTTAATTGGTAAGTCATTCTGTTATGAAATATTTCATCAACCCACTATTGAGGCACAAGTCATAATTTATCAATTATCATTTTAAAAAAATCTGCGAAAATGATTTTGTGATTTGTTTATTTTAGCCTGTTTTTCAGTTGTTAACTGTACATTTCCATTATTTTGAGTTTTGCATTTGCATAGTAATACTAATAAACAATTTTAAATGCAGTAGTATAGTTCAAATAAATTGTCATGATTTTACTAATAAATATTTCAATAATAATAATATTTATAAAATTCAACTAACTGTAAAATAAAATTTTTTAAAGTATTTCTTAAAAAAAAATCTGGTTTAAAAAATCACGAATTCTGAATATAATGTGATGTAGAAAACATATAGAATTTTAAATTTACTCACCTCAACAGCTCTAAAAAGTTCATGAAAATCTGGAAGAATCAAAACATTGGAACTGATCTTATTTTTGGTCCTAAGAAACTTGATAATCCTCAGTACATGCAATAATGTTACTTCATCCAAAGCTATCAAATAAAATTAAAGTTCCAGCATAAAATTAAATAAGGAAAGATAACAACACGAAATACAATTATTAACACAAGACATAGGCATGAAACAAACACCATAAGAAAAAGAAATCTCACTTAGCTATCTTTGCCCCATACTCTCCAGTTTTAGCCATTTATCTACACATACTATTTTATTATTCAGATTCTATAATTCTATTCAGGCCACTCACTCATTTCACTAAACTCCTTCTCCCATTTCACTAAACTCCTCCTCATTTCACTAAACTCCTTTTAATCTTTCTTTTATATGCTGTTTTAAATGTGTTAAAGGGATCTGCCACATGCTTGGTGTTCCCAGCCTGCCCTCGGATCTGCATGTGCAGTTCTGTTTAGATCACTTCACTCTACTGGTAAAGAAATAATTCTACAATGTAATCTTAGCTATAGTGGGGAAATGAAAATGCAGAGAATTTTGCACAAAAAGCATCTTTCTTAGATGCCCCCCCCCCACAAGTCTAACTGAGAAACATCAAATTGTTAGTAAAACAAAAAAATTGAGTTCAACGAGCAACTTCTTACAGGAAACAAGCTCTTGGTGCTTCTAGGGAGAACCTCTTAGAACAGGGGTGGCGAACCTTTATACACCAACGTACCAATGTTTCTAAAAAATTGTTTAATGAGGTCATAGACGTGCCGTCAAATAATTTTGACTTCGTGATTATTGGGAAAATAATAATACTAAATACTATCAACTCAAAACTCTTTATTTGCATTGAAAAAAAATGCGTTTTGCCATGTCTACATAACAACATAAAGTAACATCAGTGTGGCTTCTGTTGTTGCAGATTAGATGACAAATAACTTATATTAGGTTGTAAGGTGTTAGTTTAAGCAGGACTGTTATTTTTTTTGCTAGTTATTTATTGTTAGCTTGTTTTTTATGGTTATTAATTGTTTTTTTTAGCATTAATAGTTAATTTTTTTATTAATAATTGTTTATTATTTTGCTTATTTTTTTAAATTTTAATTTAGCTGTTACATATGCTTCATAGTGTAATAACATTTGTGATCGGTGGCGTGCCCAAAATATTGTGTTTCGTGCCATAAATGGCACGCGTGCCATTGGTTCGCCATCCCTGTCTTAGAACATCCTGTGTTCCTAGGGCCAATGGCATGAAGACTTTCTACAGGCATATTTACACCATATTGGGCTTTCTGACTCTCCTGGCGGCATTTTGTGTGGAAAATTTATTAGCATAAATAGCAAACATTTCTGGAACTGTTCTACCCACCAAGAAGCCCACACTTTTTAGTATTTAAAGAGGCTCTCCAACCCTGGATATATTTCCTTTTTTGTAATGGATGGCAAAACTTAATAAAGCAAATATACAAAGGCAAGAAAAAAAAACTCACTCATTTCACATCTCTAACCTGCAATAGGATAGATTACAAATGTGAAAAATGCCCTTTAGACGATAATGTGTGTTTCTTGTATATATATGACTGGAAATAACAAAAGTTTGTTCCTTCAGGGTGCATAGTCAAATTTTTCGACAAAAAATAAGCAACCTTTAAAAACACAATGCACCCTGTTCTTTTATTTAGAAACACATCATTTTCTCAAAACCCCATTTTTTTTTAGCCTTTCTGCACTTAACCCCTTAACTGCCGTGGGCGAATATATACGTCTCGGCCAGACTATGTGTTAACTGCCGCAGGCGTATATATACACTTTCCCGAAGTACGATGCTTTGCATTGCGCTGCTATAACTAGAACTACACCCCGACTTCTAAATGCAGTAAAATGACCTTGAAAGTGGTTGACAATGAAAGTGTTTGCAATGAATGTATTACCAATTTCGGATCATATTTATTGCTTGTTTTTTTTCTACTTGAGTAAGGTCTGGTTTATTTTTCTTTCGTTTCCCGTGTATATTCGTCGTGAATCCCGCTATCAGTGCAATGAATGTGATGTTGGTTTATGTGTCCAACCATGTTTCAGGATTTATCATGTAACAGCTAAGTTTCAACATCTTTTATATTGTATTTTTACTCTTTAATTTAAAATTTTGCATTTTCTATTTTTCCTTTTTCTTCTCTTGTGAAAGTAAACTGTTTTTAAATTGCAAAGTGCACATCTCCCCCCCCCCACCATAACATTGCGTAACAAAGCGCACCTGAGTGAAAAACGGTGGCACTGGGGAGTGAATCACGTAAATTTTACTCGTCAGGTAAGGGATTAACAGCGACAAAAAGGCAAAAGAAAGGCGCTCTCATTAACAACCATCAACTTTCTCTGTGACCAAAGCCTTATCTACCACATCAAAGTTTCAAGATATCAGGAAGCAAGACATCATTGAAATCAATAGAAGCTGTGCAGATTTCCTGATTAGGTCATAGGTATGCCAAATGGTTACATGAACGGTTCAGAAAATAGGTATATGATAGGTCATTGGGCTTTTGATACATGAATTAAGTCTTTACTACAGTAGGGAACCGATTATCCGGAATGATCGGGACCATCGCTATATCTGTTATACAGTGTTACAAATAGAGCAGTAAAAAAAATCAAGGTATTGGAGTGGATTGAAACTTTGAAAACTTACTTCCTTGATCAAAAAGCCTGTTAATCAACATATGAGATAAAGTATAGGCATTTTCATTACTCAAGCCAAGCGCGTTTTGCAATTCACTCACACACAGAGACTTAAAATTTTCATGAGGCTCTTTTTGCGTCACAATGCTTATGTAGAATAAACTACTACACATCAAATCTTCAGTGAACATTGATGCCTTTTCTTGGGGAATGCAGTAGTCTTCAAACAAATAAACATATGTAGACAGTTTCAACAGGGCTATGGCAGAATGTACAGGAAATGTCCATTTAGAATTCTGGAAAAAAGATTTCATCAAAAACATGTGTCAGAAAGTTTTTAAGTAAAAAACATTTCAGCTTATTACCATCTTATTTTTTAGTATTTTAGGGTGTTTCAAAGTGTGGAAATTTTAATTCTAAATAAATAAAAGGTTATAGTTTTATTTATCAGAAGTACTCGTTTATTTATTGACACATTAACTATTTAGCCCATGTTTGTGGCAGCTGTAGTCATGCTCTGATTAGACATGACTGCAATTCTAAACATACGGGGACTTCTGCTCCCCTGTAAATTAAATCAATTGTGAAAAAATATTGGAAAGTCTGTCAATAGCCTGGCATTTATTAAAGGATTAAATAAATGAATTTATAGAGGAAAATAATAAATCACTTTTTTGTATAGCAATGTTATAAAAGCAAAATGTTTATTGATTTAAAACTTTGAAACCAACTTTTTTCAACATTGGTTGTTCTAAGATTAAGTCAAGCAGACATAAAAAAAAAAACTTATATAAGCATTATCAATGTATTTTTTTAATCAGCACCATGACAGAATTCACAATTTATAACAGAAATACAATTACCTGATTTTTCCCACCAAAATATCAATAAATCTTGAACCTTATTTTTACTTAATAATTCATTAGAAATATAGCATTTTTCATAGAATAAGCAATAATTTATGCATTCTTACGATTAAAAAATGTTAAAGTACTCCTTTAAAATATTATTTTAAATTCAATGATTATTTCTAAGATTTTATAGTTTTTAGTACAAAGTAAAAAAGTTCATACCAATAGCTCAGCAAAAAAGTCTGTTGCTACTTCCATTGCTATGCCACGGTCTTGCGGTATAACTAAACATTCAAGGCAGACCTTTAAAAATAAAAGAGTTAATCAAAACACAAAGTATATTAACAATAAACATTTAAAGCAACATTACATCCTTATTTAAGAAAATATAAAAAATATAAGTTTTCAAGACCAGAATTTTTGTAAATCAGAATTAAGGGGAAACAACAGTAATATAAAATCAATTATCTAGGTTTGCACAAATCTACAGTGAAAAGCAAGGATAACAAAGCTTTTTATTACTCACAGTATCTAAGGCAGTAATTCTCAACCACTGTGCCGTGGCATTTTTGTGTGCCGCCAAATATTAAGAAATGATACAATAAAAATTAGAACGCTTTTTTTTTTTATTATGAGTAAAGTTTACATTAAAGAAAAGTGTATATATATATCTATATATATATACTTTTTATAATTTTTCCACGCTTTAACAGCGTGAACATCTTTGTCGGCGATTGTATTGTCTCTGACAATCTTAAAATAAGATGAAAGTGTTTAAATTGTATATGCCACACAATTTTAAAAAATGTAGTAAGAGCTAATCATTAAAGTAAGCTATGTAATTAATAAACAAATTAACAAAGGATAACTAACAAAAATTAAGCTAACAATTAATAATTAGTAAAAAAACTAGTTAACAAGAAATCACAAAAAAATAACAGTTAATAATTATAGAAAACAAGTTAACAATTAATAACTAGCAAAAAAATAAATAACTGTTACTAACTAATAAAAAATTGGTCGAAAGAAATAATTAATCCCTTAATAAATGCGCTTTTATAGTGCATATTATTTTATTTCACATTCAAAATTATCACAAACTATTTAACACTGTGTAAAATAAGTAATTCAACAACTTTTAATCTAATTTTTTTCATTGTGTGCCATCAAATTTCGAAATCGTTAAAAGTTTGCCGCAACAAAAAAAGGTTGAGAATCACTGATCTAAGGTAACAGAGGCAAATTTAAATAAAATGGCATATTTAATTATTAACTATATGTTCGTCAACTTAAGATTTTTTTTCAAGTGACAAAATTAAATTAGCTTCAATAATCTTAATAGTGTAAATGTTATAACATTCCATCAATTGCTGAATTCAAAAGCATCAATTAAATGACATTACTTATTGAAATTTGAGGTTTTGTTTATTTTGAAGGATTTTGTTTTTATCTTTCCCAGTTAATGCGCTTTAATTCATTAGGGCATTGCACATGAAAAGTAAGTAATTAGCATAATTACATTAAGTTATTGGCATGGTTGATATGTGAATTATTATGTAGGCTAAATACATTTAAGTGTTCCTTTCTCTCTCTCTCCCGTCTCTTGGATAACAGGTTTCATCATATTGTTCTTTGGCCGGCATCCTGTGAGCGGATAACTTGTTGAAATAATAGAGACTTTTCTGTCATGCCTTCCCACCTGCAAGGACTGAAACTAACGGATTCTAATGAAGCTGTTGATATTAGCTGAGTTACCGTTTTGCTTTTTTTTTCTACAGTGTATCATGATGATGGGAATAATGGCCGAAATGTAAATTTCACATTAACTGGAAAATATTGTACTTTTGGTGTTCTCAAATAATCATTTAGCATTTTAGATTAGTTCACAGCAAAAGCTGTTTAACCTTTTTCACAGCTTCTATTCATATTTTCTTTAAAGAAAAAAAATGTTTTTTCAAAATAATAGACATAGTAAGTGTTAGCAGCTGTATTCTTTAAAATTCAAAAAAATATCATAACATATCTAAGTGTATTTCAAAATGTAGCACTTTATTTTTACGTGGGGTACTTTGTGACTTGCTTAAATTTTTTTTTATTATTTTGTTTTTTATCTCATCTATATAATATTTTCTTTCTTACTGCTATGTATAGTAATATTTCTTGGAATAATAAAAAATATAGTTACTAAAACATTTTGTAGTGGAAAAAAGGAAATATTGGATCATCTTTCAAAAAAATCAGAAATTTTTTTTTTGGAAAGTATACATAAACCATAATACTTTTTAAAAAGGGCAAAAAAGACAAACTAAATAAAAATATAATTCTCTCAATTTAAGTATAGATGTTAAAGATAAATATATATATTAATTTTAGAACTACTTTGTTTAGATATAAATTTTTCTTTTTAATAATTCCATTAATGAAGCACTGCACAACTCATAATAGAGATCAATATAAAGAAAATTTTTATGGGACTGTGTTGTATTAAAAAGTAACTATTACCATTTAATTAATATTCCGTTATACCAATATTTAAAACAAAAACACAGCTAATATGCTGCGTAACATTTATGAACAAAAGTAATTTAGTGAATAATCCCTCAATTTACTATTTAAAAACTTTATGAATACTGTATTTGGTACGTTGCTGCCATGTGCACGTGTCGTATGAGTGGGGCCACAGGAACACTGGTCCAAGTAAAAAAATAAAGAGTCCTGGATTCTTCACAGCTAGTCATTTATTCGTCACCATTCAACAAAAACATCTTCATTGGAAAAAGGAGCACTGGATTACCTCGTGTATTTCCTATCCGAGAACACGTGTCTCCTTCTCTGCATGCTCGGCTGGTTATATCTCAAAAATAAATATATATATAAAATTTGTTATATCCTAATTACCAGATTCGCATAAGATGCGCAACCTTAGTAATTTGCAGACAATCATAAAATTCAGAAAAACGATCACGCAGAGAAGGAAAGAGAATCTCACAAAATTTCTCGATCACCAACACAGAGCGTAAACACACTTCGAATGCTTGAATGATAGCGTCCATCCGGGGAACCGGCTTGGCGTAACTCCCGGTTGTAGTTAAGATAAACTAGGTGCAAGGCACCGTTAAAATTAATGCTTTTAAATTTAGAGGAGAGCCAAACTGTATCAAATTTGGGTGGATTGCGATAGCATCATCACAGTATTGTTGATTGGTATAAAATTCAATAAAAGAAAGGAATTTTAAAGATTTAAATTTTATTTCCGCTTTCAGCACAAAATTTTATAAAGTGGTAGCAAGTTAAAAACTAAAACTTACTTGTGTTTAATTTTGCCTATACTTCAAAAATTCAAGGTGGGGATAGTTCAAATAAAGTGGCCGTCATATGAGTATATGAATTATTTAAATGTAGTGGAGGGCAACAAAACTTTAAATGAAATTTAATGAAGTTTAAATGAAAATGCAAGAATGAACATAAATTTTTTCTAACACTAGAAAAACTATTTTAACAAAGCAGAGCAAGTTGGCCGACAAAACTTCTACCTATAGGATTTGTTACTGCATTTACTAAAAATTATAAACAAGTGTGTGACCCCTTAATTTATATTTATAAAAACTTAATAATGAAAAATTATTGAGTTTCTTTTCTATAAAATACAAAATTGCCAAAAAGTTTGGAACAATAAATCCTGAGGGTAAGGCTATAATGACTGAATTATGTATATAATTAGTGTGTGGTACCTAAGTTTGATCTAAAGAACTTTACAATTTTTACTAACATTATTAATTAAAATAAAAAATTGAATGAAAAAAATAAATCTTTTGGTTCTACAAATTGATTATTTTAAAATTTGTATTAACGTTCATTGAAAATGGGATGTTCTGTAAACACAAAAATCAAGATATTAGGATAAAAGGCTAAAAATTAGGACAAAGGAAGTCGTTCTATTTTTCATCAGGACAGCTACGAACCCTGCATATTAAGTAGGTCAAATATTAAAAATGATTTTTTTTTAGTATTTTTTATAAATTGAAAACTGCAGTAGGTTACACATTGATAATAAATATTTATATTTACTTTAAGTGAAAAATTATAATTATTAAATTAAAAATAATTATTATGCTTAGTTAAATTATTTTGGGACAAATATTGATTTATTGCAACATTATGATTACTATGTAGCATAAAAATATAAGTGTAATACAGTACGGAACGATCGGAACCATCGATATTCCGGATAACTGATTTCTCCGGTTTTCTGAATCGCTACAAAAAGCCGTTTTTTTATTGTTAAACCCAACTAAAAAATAAATAAAAAATGGAAATAATCTTAAAAAAAAGAAAAAACGATGGAGTAATACACTAATGATTATTTCCAAAATGATGGTAAAGTAAACGTCTTTTTTAAAAAAGAACGGAAAATCCTAAAATCTTACGAGGGAAAATTTATTATTTTTTTTTAAATGGCGGGAAAATGTATAGAATTTCGTTCCGGTTTTTTGGTTTTCTGATTTCCGGGTAACGGGTTCCGTACTGTATTTTAATAAAAACATGTGCAATCTATAATGAACTCCACTTTGCCATATGTGATGATAAAAGTTTCAATGTAAGAGATAATTAAAAACAATCAAAGAAAGCATGAAAAAAATTACTTCGAAAATCCTGGAATGCCTCTCCCACTGTTGAGATGGTACCACAGTGAAAATACATCCCCCTTGTTGAACATAAAAAAGAAGATGTATTAATTCATCTGAATATTCTTCTTTTTGATCAGAACTTTCTTCATCACCGTACTTATTCCCATGAAAGTAATCAGGAGTGTATTTATCCATTGCTTTTTCAACAGCAACCACATCTGTAAATAAAGAAAATTATTTGTCAAGCATAAGGTATGAAATGCATATTTTTTACAATACATGAAAAATTTTTAATGGATTGTGCAAAACATAAAAAAAAACATATATATCACAAAAAGCTCTCAAGTGACAGAGTAAAAGAATGAAGATTTTAATAACTTGCAATATTTTGAAACATCAGTTTTAAAAATTAGCATTGCAAGTACAGTACACAAAAAGAATATCCTAAATAACTTTTGATCTAATGATCAGGCTTTCACATACTAAGAGTCGAACCTAATAGTTCGAAAGCTCTAACTGGAATCTGTTAATCAGTAAGTGATGATGATATTTTAAGTTATGCAATCAGAGACAAAAATGTACTTTTTCAGAATTAGCACACTTTTTTCATCAGATTCAGATTCCTAACTTTCAAAATATGGGGACAGGTGTAATCTGGGAAATAGGGTTCTAATAATTTGGTCAGGAGAATGGTTTAAATCCTGTAATAATAATTTAACTTTGTGTGCATATTTAGCTAAATTTCAAAATTTTTTCTCCAGGAATTGAAATATTTTTTTAATACAATTATAAAATTTTTTTTTATCCAAAGATGATTCTGAGCAAAAAAATAATTTTTAATGATTATTTATTATTTCATATTATAACAGTAGAAAAAAATTTAAGTGAAAAGTACGAAGATTGAGCAAAATCAGTAGATAGTTACTGTGTTATCAAGTCTTATATTCAATGGAGTTTTTTGATTCATGAAGTTTTTCAATAGAATTTCAATTTGATTCACTATTATATTCAATAAAGTTTTTGGATTCATTTAAAAAGTTTTCAAGATATGGTGAAATGCACATAAAATAAAATTAACACTAACGGGTCCAAACATTCAACTGCTCTCCTGACTAAACTATTGAGACTTATTTACTATATTGTAAGTTACCCCTCCAATATTTTGAGGACAGAATGCAAATGAATGGAAAAAAAAAGGTATGCTTATTCAGAGAAAGCTAGTTTTTTTGCGTCTGATTTCAAAATATCTTTACTTACTAATTGGTAGATTTAAGGTTAGGCACTTGAACCATTAAGATTGAGTCACTGTGAATGAAAATCCGATCATTCGATCAAAAGTCAGTCAGGGTGTTCCCTTTTTTTTAAACACACCTGCTTTGTGTTTTAATAAGAATATCTAGATCTCTTTAAAAAATATATACATATTCAAAACCTTTTAATTATTTTAAGAGACGATAAAATGTTTTCAGTTGTACTACTTCTAAGGTTCATGCCAGTGTGTGGAAACAGCTACAAATGTTGATAAGTCATTTAAAACCACTGGTATGGGCAATAAATTCTTTAATTGAAATATTTTGGTATTCCATCATTTATTTTATTGTATTTTTTTTAAAAAAAGCGAGAAAATAAAATCATGTGGAAACTCACAGCAACATGTTTATAAAAGCAATCAACAAAACCATTGTGATTTTTGATAATACAGATTTGCCATTTTCACACAATAGATCTCAGTAGTCAGAAATACAACAAAAATATACAGTTGGCATTTACGCAATTCAAAACAGTGCAAATTTAAAGTGTATATACTTCTTAGTTCTATATAGGCGCATGTATATAGACATACATTTTAGTTCAAAAGCACTTGATTTAATATTATTGGTCTCCATGCATTGCAGAAGTACAAGATTAGAGTTGTGGAGAAAAAAAAATTATAAAAAAAATAATAATAATAATAACAAACTTCATAACAATAACAGTATATATATTAAAACAAGAACAACAAAAGATTACAAACAAAAGAAAATCAGTCTCTGGAAGTCAACAGCATCATCTCTCTTGCCTCGCAATATAAATTATAAAGGTTTTCTCCTTTTAAAAAAGAACACTTTGCTAACTGGTTTCTGACTATTTTTAATTTTTGATTTCATTGAAATTTTAATTTAATAAAAATTCAATTAACATGCCTAATTAAATTTTGATTTAATATCTAATTTGTAGACATTCACTAGGAATATTCTTGGCGACCTTCTAAAGTGCATTTAATAAACCAAACATAATGATATTTACATTAAAATAAATAATAAATAAAAAAATAGGTGTCAAATGACAATTATTCAGCTCTTAAAAGTAAAGAGAAAATCACTTACCGAAAGAAACATTTAGTAAGAATCTAAGGAATTCTTTGAATTCTTCCTGGCTTACTCGTTCATCAACAAATCTAGAAGGAAAAAAATATAATTCTCAGGCCATAAAAATGATAAAAAGTTATTATTACACAAAAATTATAAACCGAAAGTAAACAGAAAAATATTTAACCTAAGAGACATAACAGCAGACTTCTCCATCAAAACATTTTCTATAATGCTTTTAACAGCTTACAACAGACATCTTATTCATTGACACACAATTTTGACAAAATTTATTCAAAAACCAAGTATTTTAGCATTTTTGTTCTTTTATTAGTATATTGGCATCTTTTTTCTGATCATTTAATTCCTATATTAAGCCAAAAAACTTTTTGGCAAACATTTATTTGTTTAATTTTCTTTTATAATGAGCAACTCTTTGTAAAATATTTTCTCCAAAAGATTTTTCACAAACGGCAATTGCACATTTATGCATGCCACTTTGACAATAAAATAGGTAAAATCTCCAACAGCGCACAACAATTGTAAATTATAGATATAACATAAGTTAAAATTTTTGTTCTGGACAATGCTCAAAAAATATGTCTAAGAAAAGAAACACAGCTCAAAACGCATGTTTAAGAAAAAGAGGACACAGCTATTTAGAAAAACTGACTAAGCATTTCATCCATTATAGTATTTTAAAAAAAAAAAATCTGAAAAGAAGAAAAATACAATCCTTTTTTTATATATATATATATATTTATACATATTTTATGGATTCTGTGTACTTGCAGCTTAGGCACAGTAAATAAAACTTATTATTATTTTGATTAATTTTTTTTTGTTAATCTCTCATTTCTTTTTTGTCTCTTTATTATTATTACTGTAAATTTATTTTTGAATGTTTAACCAAATTTATTCACATACCTGTTGTAAAGTGATCTGATCAGTTTAGAAATTATGTCTAAAGATAAAGACTGGTCACTCAAAATCAAGTCAGCCACAGTTTGTAAGAAGTCTGGTGGTAAGCTAGTCATCTGAGTTATTAAATTTATTATTGTTAATTGATAATCTTCATCGTCATTCAGTTTCAGAAAACCTAGAGAATAAAATAAAATTATTATTTGATGAGACTCATCATTCAGTTTTAGAGTTTATATTTATGAAAAAAAGTTTAGATTTATGAATCATGGTTGGTAATTTCCAGAGCAAAAAGATATATTTGTAGGTAGTGGAAAAATCTAATAAAAACTAGCTTACTGAAATATATTCCCAAAAAAATGTTTGCTTAATATTGTTTTTATTACATAATTCAAATTCCATTTTAAATTAAAAAATTCGCCAAATTACAGCTAAAAGTAAGAGGAAAAATCCACGTAGATTTATGAGGATGACAATGAGCATTTTCTTTAAATAATTTTTTGACTGAATATCTAAAATTCAGAATTTTTCAAACTCTGGACGTTTTGAACTGCCAAGTAGTTTGCATTTTAAAGGTTATACAGTTCAGTCATTTTATGAGTCAGTTTCAATAATGTCATGATCATCCATTGGGGAGAAACAAAACCAGCCCATTTATCAGAGTTATGTTAGCCTTATACATCTATACATAATGAAAGGAAGAGTTTGTCTCGTATTATAACTCCAGTACCGTTAATGCTGGGGTCTTTTAATTTGGACAGCGAGTGCAGTTGTGCTAGGTAGTACCATTTGTGCTTTGGACAGCAAGTACAAGGGAGAATTTTACCCCTTTATCTCAAAAGGTGAAATTTTTGAAAAATGATTTTTTTTTTATTAATACGAACTTTGGAATATTCTGTTTTTCTTCTTCTATCAAATATTTAAAAGATAACATCAGTAATGTTTGCTACCTTCTTCCTTTTCGACCAGTAATGGGGTTTGACACAAAAATTTTCCTCATTGGATTTTTTTTCTTATCTGTTATCGAAAAATATGAGCATCCCAATTCATTTTTTTAATTTTACTACTTTTGATAACATTGGGCTCTTTAATAGTTCTATAAATTTCTGAGTAAAAGCATCTACATAAAATTTTCTTTGAAACCGCAAAAGATACCTCTGAGAACGTTTCTTTCAAAAGCTGTTATTCGTCATTTTTAGTTAGAGAACAAGAAACAAAATTTCACATCAGCATATTTTTCTTTGTTGCTTCCTTTTATTACAAAGCTTCCACAGGGTTCCCATTTAATTCCAGAAATAAATAATTCCCGGATTTCCAGAGAAATTTGAATAAAATTACGCATTTTAACTATACACAGCAATTTTAAATTTAAAAAAAATTAAAAAAACTTTTGATTGTCAGTATGCATACATGAAAAATGATGAGTTTTCACGTGACTAACACTATGAATTTAGTTAGTATTATTTTATTATTAACTTATAAAAATAATTTTCCTTTGTATGATTCTTTACAATTTTATTACATAAATGGCAATGTGTTTTAAACGGATCATCGCAAACTGCTTTAATCCAGTTCGAACAGCGAGGATTTAAAAGTTCATTTGTCCATTTCAAATTAAATATAGTTTTTTTGCTCAGTTTCCTAATGAACAATTAAAATGAATCAATAATAAAAAAAATCTTAACCATCATAAAAGTATATTGAATCCCAGCGATGGCTGGTCGTTAACAATCCTGCAAATGTCTCCCAATACTTGATCCAGGAGTTCCCTTGTCTTCTGGATTGGGTTCAAAATTACAAGGGTACGGAGTCCAACATTGCTGGTCGTAAACTCAAAATTTGGTCGGCTGTTCAATGACGGTTATAAAATAAAAAACAGTTGCCTACACTGCCATATCAAAATTGAAAAGTTTATTCATATTTAGATCAATTACCAATAACTTCAGATGGTTTGGATGACTGTAGTGTTTCAATGAAAGGAGGATATTCTCTACAACACATTAAGTTTACACATTTGAGTAATTCTTTATCAGCTTTCATCTGCATCACCTCAGTGAAAGCATGTTTGGCCCAATTATCAAGAATCTTTCGGCTGAAAAGAAAACGGAAGAACTTGAAATAAAATATGCTTTTGCAAAAAAAAAAATATGAAATCAAGTAACTATATATGAAAGGTTTAAAAATTAATTAAATATACATTTACGTATGTAATGTAAGAAATAATTAAGTATTAAAAACCATACAGAACTGCAATGCTTAAAAATCAGCAGCCAATTGGGGTCAAATGACCTTGTACTGGAAACCATAATACGTAATTCAAGGAGACAATCAACATGGCAAAAGATAAAAAAATCTCTTCTTAGAAAAGAAGTACTGAGATTGACATACAATGGATAATTCACAGAAAAAACAATTAAATGTTAAACAAAGTACAATTTATTTACAAAATTATCCCCATTCAAAATCAAATATTACATTGTTTGCACTCTGTAGTAATCTATAACAAAAGACAAGTTTTGATGCAGTTTCTAAACCTAAACAATTTCTCAATTTGCTATGCACAAACGAGAAATTTGAGAAGATTCTCTCAAGTCCAGCAGAACTAGCAGGCATTGCCATCAAGGAACAAGCAAGATTTGTGAAACTTTCATCTATTGCATATTTTTTAAAACTGAACCACCATGTAGCAGCCGGGGTAGCTGTCAAAACCTGACTGGAAAAATAAATTTCAGGAAATGGGGCCAATTTGTTTTGCAAAGGTATGACATAAGGTACAAAATCTGGGTTAATATTGGCGAGTAAAATTCTGGCACTTTTTTCTTGAGCACATGGTAATTTCAATCCCAAATACTTTGGATGCAGCATATAAGCTAGCAAATGATAATCAGTAACTGTCTGTTTAAATCTGCATGTCACTTATTTTTTATAAACAGCCATAAGATTCTCTTTACTTAATTCATTCTTTAGTTTACTTAAACAAAATGCCATTAAGCATTTACCAGAACTAATATAGACATTTTTTAGTTTCTGCCAGTTTTTGGCTGTTATAACCAGTTTCTGCCACTGGCATGGCAAAAAACTAGTTTCTGCCGGTAAAAAGCCAACCCTGGAGAAAACTCGGGTCTATCAGAATTTGTCATTAACTTTAGTTTTATCATGTTTTTACTCAGTCAGAAGCAAAATAATAATAATAATAATCTGCTGTGATTGGAAGTTTGCAAAGTTTTGTTTGGGAGTTATGCTGTTGGATTATGGGACGGCACACTTGTTTCCAGTGACTGTATATACGATGATTGCTAAATTTACACAGGGTGTGTAGCCAAATAATTCAACAAAAAATAAGCACCTTTTAAGCACTTTTCAAGCACTTAAAAATATTTTAAAGCACTTTAAAAAAATATCAAAATTAGGCAGGGTTGGAAAGATTTTGACAATCGAAGGTTTTTATCTTGTTTTAACCGTCATGTCAAAAAAAAAAAACTTTTGGCATTGTTTTTGACAATTGTCAAAAATCATGAAATTTTGAATTATGTAAAACAAATGGCGTTTTCAAACGCTACGGACTAACTATAAACCGAAATAGATTGGGGTTGAATTAATTATGAAAACGTTGAATAGAAAGAACAATGTTGACTGCGTCTTTTTGCATAATTCGAAGCGAAAATCAACATAGTAAAGGAAAAATCTCATTTTGAAAAAGGGATAATTAAGCACTTTTTAAAAACACCCAATGAAAAAAGCACCTTTAAGGGCTTTTAAAAAACGAAAATTGAAAATAAGCACTTTCTAAAAACGCTATGCATCCTGTTACATAGAAGAAGAAAAATAGTAAAAAAATGGGGAATTAATTCACTGGTGTTAAGAAAGTATCACTTCGCGTCATACCTTGTTTTAAAAACTATCATACAAAGACTAATATTTAACTTTTTTTATTTGTTCTAGATAACTACTCGGGATAATAAACTGATTGCAAATTAAATGTTTTTTATACATAAAAAAATTAAAATTTCAATTTTTTTTTCTTGTATTTATTAATGAAATAAAAAAATATGCTGATATTTTTGCATTTTTTCCTCAAAAAAATTCTTAAGGTAAGTGGTTAATGAGATATTTATATGTTTTGTTTGGTATCTCAGTGTTTAGAAAAAATTCAAATAAATGAAGTAACAAAAAGGTAAAACTTTAATTTTTGGGGTTCCTTGTATTTTTTACTAAATTATCATCATCCCAGCATAGGTATTTGCCTTCTCTACAACATTTCTCCATGTCACTGTTCACCTTGTTGCCAGTTAAGTACTCCGATTAATTAAAAATCCATGTTAATGGGGCCCAACTATCAAAGTTTTGGATACAGGCTATCTGCACCATTTTAGATTTTCAAATTCATGACTAATTCCAAGAATTTTTCATGACTTAACAAAGTAACTATTTTTTTCGACAAACACAATAATTTTTTCTTCTTTTTTCGACAAAAACAATAATTTTTTCTTTCAACAATAAATTTAAAAAACATTCATTGAAATAATAGGTATAACCAAAACTGTTATACTCTACATCTTCATATTTATAGATTTTAAATTTAAAAAACAAGAGTAAAGAAGGAGTTAAAGCAATAAAATAGCTGAAAAAAATACAAAAGCAAATAATTTTTTCCCCTTTTTTTCTGCAGAATTACATTCCCAAGATACTTTTCTTGTTCATCAGAAAGGAAAAAATACTCCTGATTTTTCTGTTCTCATTTCGGAATAAAAAAAATTCACCAATGACTGGCTTGCCCTCAGCTAAAATTTTAAATTGATAAAATAAAAATAACAAATAATAACAAAAATTCTGAAATCACAAAACAAAATTCTGAATCTAATTCGTTCTAGAAATGATGTTTTTTCCTTCATTCTTTTAAAGAACACCATAATTTTTAAAGAACAGGATAAAAACACTATATTTTAATCAAATATGATGGTGAGTGGGTTACAAATTGACCAACAAATTGTGAGATTTTGTTACAAATTTAGATATTTGGAACACTATGAAATTGGGGGGAGGGGAGTAAATTCCATTTTAAAAATTAGATTTTTCGGCGACCTAAATCCATGACTTTTCATGATTTTTTATTTAAAAAAATAGTTCAAATCATGACATTTCATGACAAATTTTGTTCAATACCAAAATTCATGACTTTCCAGGTGCGCGGATACCCTGTGGATACCATTTAGATCTCCTGCCAATTGGTTTGTATTTAAATATCTTATGTGTTGGGTTAGCCGTAAGATATAAATGGCGAGTGAGCCCTGAAAATCGAATTCAGTTTAATTTTATAATTTTTATTACATCAATGTTCCTATAAAAAATTTTAATTTACTTTTCACTAAATATCAGAATAAATATCAGGTAATTCTTACTCCAACAGAAACTTGTAATCATAATCCAAGGAAACTTCAATGAAGAACGAGTGTATTACTTTAGTCATAGTCTCATCTTTTAAACGCTCGGCCATATTACACAAATGGGTAAAAACCTCAGAAAACATATCAATAAACCGAACATCCATTTTTTCACCTAAATGTAAGAAACATTCATAAGAATAAAAAACAGTCAAAATAACAAGTCCAACAAAAATAAAATACAAGATTAAAAATAATAAACATGATGGGAAATGTAACGATTTTTAACAATCAATAGAAGATTATATATAAAAAAAAAACTATATTTTACTAAAAACTACAAATTTTTATAAAAACTTTTCACAGCGATTGATGTTACATAAAATTTAAAACAATTTCAAAAATAAAATTCTTAAAAAAGGGAAAATGAAATAAAATACTTTTTGTATTTACTTTCAACTTAAACTCCACTCGATTATTTTCTGTCTATTTAATTTTAAATTATTTCAAACAAACAATAAAGTCTGAAAAAATAAAGAAAGATATTTTTCACAGGAAATTTACAGTGGAAATTTTTTAAGTTATATAATTTTAAACTCTGCAAAAACTAGGAAACCATCGGTGAGTTTTACCTATGTAATCGTGAAGCAACGGTTCTCCATCACACGTTGCCGCACAAGCTCATCATTGATGAGGGACTGTCGCCCACTGCGCTCTTCATAATGGACACTTTGACAACTTTCAGAAAACTGCCTACACCAGCGACACACCATCTGCTTACTCATGATGTTCGGCTCATAGACCTGACATTAAGCTGACGATGAATTTCAATTAGTGCAATGTTTTGTGCATCCAAGAGCTTTACCACCAACCGAACCTCGAAGGTGGCAGGACAAGGAATAAGAGATCCATTTCGAACCACTGGTACTGGCACGAGGCAGGATCTCTCCGATTGGTTACGTTTACTTTAAAGGGGAAAACATCGGTAAACTTACTTTATGGATACGCCTCGTAGATTTATTATAAAATGGATTTTTTTTAAATACATAATTGTTTTGCCGTTATTTTACATATTGAAAATTGGTAAATTATATTTTTAAAAAAATATGACTTTTTTAGACATCCTATTCTTTTTTTTAATTCATAGAGAAAAATAATAATTCTTTTTAATTCTTATAATACATACAGAGCTTAATATGGGTGGATTTTACAACTGTTTATTGATACTTCCACAAAAAAAAAAACTTGACAAAAACGGTACCTTTACAAATACCATCAGAGTAAAATTATTCACAAAAATGAGTATTAAGTTACAAATCCTGGATTAGTCCCTGCTAAATAAAATATCCCTTAATGATATGTATTTTTGGAAATCTTAGTAACAAACATCTTAGCCTACAAGCTACTAAATTCCATAATATAAAGAATATTTTTTTGCCAGACATCAAAAACGCCTCACATTTTAAATCACACAATTACATATTTGAACAACCAGACTTGTAATAGTGCAAAAATATATTTTAGAAAATCTAACACTAAAATTTAATAAGGTTCAATCTACTTCATATGTGAAATAAGAAAACTTACCATAATTGAGAGAAAACACTTTAAGGAAGCGACGAATGATTTTTAAAGTAAGAGAAACAATCTTTTCAACTTGAAATGGTTTTTCATTTAAGGTGTTCAATATGAAAAAAAGACGTTCATTCAACACAGAATTTTCGAATTCTGTTCCGACAATGAAGGAACAATAAAGGTAACCTATTCCAAAATTCAATTCCGCACAAGACAGCTAAAGGAGAGGAAGAAAATATTTATTTAAGGAGAGTCCTAATTTCAAGAAGAAATATTCAAATGTTTTCAGAATTGCAATATAAATCAGAGGGCACACTTAAAAAACTTAATTTAAACATGCTGCTTCACTAGTAGGACAAAAATATTAAATAATGCTATTTCCAAAAAATCAACTGCTTTTTGTAAAAGATTCTATAGTGTGGTAGAACATTAAAATTTAAAACTATTACTCAAACCAAATGTTTTAGATAAGCCAAGGTTCTCTTTTTTCCATATTTTTATACAGAATTTTATTTATTTCAGATTAACCCCTTAACTTGTGCGCTCGAGTTAATTCGAGAGGGAAACAGGCCAAACTGTGCACACTCGAGATAATTCGAGAGGCGTTGTATGTTATGCTGCTATAATTTTTCACACTCGAATATAATCGAGAAGTGAAAATAACAATGTGAAAGCTAAGAGAAAAAAAAATCTTTTCATTGATATTTATCATTTACATAGGATTGTAAGCTATAACAACTATTTATTCAAGAGTAAAATATAGCCTTTTTCCATGGAACAAAAGCGCAGTTTATCAAAATTTTCCACCAAAAGAAAAGTTGAACCAGGAGCAGAATCAATTTTTTTACATTAAAAAAAAAAAATTGATTTTTTTGGCCAGTTTTTTTCAAAAAAATCTATGTGTTAAGGGGTTAAAAGTAAAATATATCACAAACATTGCTTAGCATTATTATGTTTAAATTTAATAAACAATGTGGCATTTTTCATATAATTTACAGAAACTAAAATTGCTGAAAAAGTAAAAATCAGACTTCAGAATCATAAAAATCAGACTGGATTTTCTGATTAACAGTAATGAAGAATTAAAAAAAATATACAAATTTCACTTACTACAGTCAATTCGCTATAACTCGAAGTACGATAACTCGAATATTATTATAACTCGATTTTTTTATGAGGTCCCGACCCTTTTATCTTCAACTTCATGTTAATTATTCTCGATTACTCGAATTTTACTCCCTTTANTACAAGTTTTGAACTAGAAGTACTTGCAGTTGTAGAAGCACTAAAAAAATTTCGTATTTATGTGCTTGGTACCAAATTTAAAATAGTAACTGATTGCGACGCCTTAGTGAAAACTTTGAACAAAAAAGAACTTAATTCCCGTATTGCTAGATGGGCACTATATCTTCAAGAATTTGATTATACTGTAGAACACAGAACTGGTACAAAGATGTGTCACGTAGATGCTCTTAGTCGCTCTCCACAGTGCATGGTCATTCAAGATAGTTTACATTTTCTTCAGCTACTAAAAGCGCAACAAACTGATGACCAAATAACTGCCATAAAAACTCTTCTTCAAAGTACACCTCACGATGATTACATAAAGAACAAATTATTATACAAAACTGTTAATGGAATCGATTTAATTGTAGTACCTGACGAAATGCAGACCAACATCATCAAAACTGCTCACGAACGTGGTCATTTTGCCGTATTACGTACACAAGAATTGGTCAGCAAAGACTTTTAGATACCACATCTTAAAGACAAAGTTGAGAAATGCATTAAAAATTGTGTTACATGTATCCTAGCAAATCGAAAACGTGGCAAACAAGACGGTATGCTACATCCAATCGAAAAAAATGACTCACCTCTTCACACTTTTCATTTAGATCATCTAGGTCCGCTGGCAACCACCTCGAAGAAATATAATCACATTTTCACAGTTATAGATGCTTTTACTAAATTCAGTTGGCTCTATCCCACTAAATCCACAGACGCTGCAGAAGTCATCGATAGACTAGAAAAGCAAAGTCATATCTTTGGAAATCCAGCCAGAATAATAATTGACAGAGGATCTGCATTTACCTCTGCTGCATTTCAAGATTACTGCAATAAAGAAAAAATTGCTCATGTTGCCATAGCAGCAGGCTTACCAAGATCTAATGGCCAAGTTGAGAAACAAAATTCCACCATTATTGCCGTCCTTTCTAAACTCTCAGCAGACAATCCAGAGAAATGGTATACCCATGTTCCCAAACTGCAACAGATACTGAACTCAACGTTTCAGCGAAGTATTACGATGACGCCCTTCGAACTCCTCTTTGGTACGAAAATGAAGTTGAGAAATGATATCAAGATCATAAAACTGCTAAACGATGAGACAACAGCTAATTTTCAACAGCAACGAGATGAACTACGCAAAAACGAAAGGAACCAAATTTGCAAAGTTCAAAATGAAAATCGCCGTTATTATAATCTCCGCCGTAAGCAAGCACAAAAATTCAAACTTCATGATTTAGTTGCAATTAAGCGAACACAGTTTGGTCCAGGTTTAAAGATAAAGCAAAAATTTCTAGGACCCTATAAAGTGACAAAAATCAAAAATAATGACACCTATGACGTAGAGAAATGTGACTTCGTCGATGGACCTTTCAAAACCTCTACTTGTGCAGAGTATATGAAACCATGGCCTCACGATAATGAGAAAACTTAATTTTTTATTTGAAAATAATTACTTTTATTTTCATGAAAGACTCATTGACTTTATCAAGAAACTAAACTTTTTTTTCCTTCCTTTAATATCATTGACTCTAAATTTTATATTTAATGATTTATTTTTATCTTGTTTTAGAGAATATTTACAGTTGCAGATTAATGTTTCATTGAAATGTGAAAAATCTGTTACTGATATTTTTTTAGCTATCGGTAATGTATGAAATTTTCTTATATTCTAGTATTTCAGAAGATTGTAATGTAAACAGAAAATTGTTTTGCTAAAATTTTTCACATTAATTTTCAAATTATTTGATTGTATTTTAAAATATTAGTCAGCTTAATTTGCAGATTTTTTTTTTTAATTGTATTGGTAGATAGTTTTCAGATTTAATCTTATTGCTTGTAACACCAGGCGAGGTCGCCTTCCTGGTCATGATGGCCGATGTGGGAAGCGTATTCCATACGTCATGCACACATACATGTATCATTGCGCCCCTTCCCCACGCATATCATGGCGCATCTCCCCACACATCGTATGTGATGGTAGCCGACGAGGCAGACGGCCTCTTCTAATAAGTTAAGTGTCTTGTATTTTGTATATTGTCCTGTGTTATGTCCTTTATGTGAATAAATGTTACTTAACGTAGTTCTGATGCTCCTTGCCTTCCCCCATAGTATTATTTGAAGACTATGTAAGAAAATTGGATCGGAAATTCTTCGCTAAGAAAAGAAAACGCCAAACACATCAGCAAAGTTGCAGCCGATGGACCAGGGTATCATAAAGTGCTGCAAACAGTCTTATCGTAAATGGCTTGTCAGAAAAATTATCTTAAATATTGTAAGCATTTAGAAGATTTGTAATTAATAAGCATTAATTAAATAATCCGACAATATTTTGAAAGTCCAAAACCGAAACTAACGGTAAGTCGAACTTCCGATATGTCGAAGTTTTTCGTCAGTCCTATCAGATTCGAGTTATCGCAAATTCACTGTATTATGTTTACCCAAAAACANAGATATGGCGAAATATGAAAAAAGTAAAATTAACATTAAGGGGTCCAAACTTTGGACCACTCTCTTGACCAAGCTATGTGTACCATATTTCCTACATCTTGGCTATCCCCTATATTTTGGGGGTCAAAAATCTGAATCCGTTGAATAAAGGGTATGTTTATTCACTTTTGTGTTTATGAAGGTTACAGCCATAAATGCCATATATATATATATATATATATGTGTGGCTAAAAATCTGTCCAAAACAGGTAAATCATGCTTTATTTTTTTAAATTTTCATTTTTTTAAATAATTAAATATCAATTTTATTAATTATAAATTTTAAATTACCCAGTATAATATTATTACCTCACACTCTTCCATTTTTGGGGCAATCCAAGGTAACTAACAAATCAAATGCACTTCAGTTAGAATTGGCCATGAAAGATCCCTCGATTTACACTTCTAACTTTATTTGCGCTACTGTTTTCATATTTTGCAATCTGGCAATCTTATTACGAAAATATCTTAAATTATTCTTGAAAGATTCTGTTACGCGTAAGTTCACTTGAATCCGCTACTCGCTTTTGTTCTGCATTTTTTTTTTTGCTTGACATGTTTTATTTTGTATTTATTATTTTATTTAATGTGTTCAATGTTAGTTTAAAATTTTTTCAGTGCTCCCACTCTAATTGATATATTTTGCTTTCGTTATATTGATACAATATTAGACAGCAATCTTTTTTGCCAATAAAATCGTGTGAGCTGTTCAAGAGATTATATCTTTTCATTATTCTGTTTTCCGGCTTTTTACTTTAAAAAAAATAAAAATAAAAATTTTAAATATTTTATTTCAATTACTTTTCTTTTTCATTAATCTTTATTATGTATTTTTAATAAATTTTTTTATGTTCTATATATTTGCAACTTATGCTCAGTAAATAATACTTATTGATTTTAATTTTTTTCTTCTTTTTCTTTTAATCCTTTTTTGTCCTTATTGTGCTATATATATATATGTATTAAGAAAGTCTATATCTGCATCTAAACACACTTTGCAAGGAGTAACTTATTTCCTGCTCTAGATGAACAGGAAAAAATACAGAAAAGGTAAAAAAGGAGGAGAAAAGGACTCTCCTCGAAATAAAGCTACTTCTGATTATAGCCAAAATATCCCCACTATTTTTGCATGACTTAAAATATGTGATGTTGCATACCACTTATCAATTTCTGAAGTAAAATAGCATCAATATTATGTCAAGCTTCAATGATAGCACTAAAACCACACTAACCTAAAAACTAATCATCAGAATGTCATGAAATATTGACATGTATCATAGATTTCTTATGAGTTGGTCAACAAGATTGTCATCTATGTATCAGACTGGAGATTTATTGAGTTATGAGTTATATAAATGTGTATTTATATATAGTCTAACTCTAGTATAATGTAGTTTAATTAGATTATAAAGTTATTCTGGGTAGTCCATTTCCTTTTCACACTGTACATCATTTAACAAGTAAACCAGTTAAAGAAAATTTTCAAACTCTTTATGTAATTCATGAAAAATATACATAAAAATTATGTGTATTATACTCAGAAATGTAATTCAAACTCCTTCACAAAATGCACAAAAATACTTCATGCACAAGCTTCATGAAAATTATTTGATTAGTTATGTCATATGTATTGCTAATTGAATAACATAACCTTCTTATCTTTCCATTTTTTCATACCTGTCCACTCTTTACTTTTGCACCTTTTTTATTTTCATGTATTCTGTAGGGAAAACCTTTCAACAATTTCTGACGCAATATGCTATTCATCAATGGTGTAAAATTTTCATCCTATAAATACAGATTAAGATTTTTTTTAAAAAATACATGGTTTTAATTTTTAAAATTTTAATCACACTTAAAAATTTTGTTCATAATTTAATCGATGTTAAACAAGTTCGGTTTAAAACAGCAAAAAATTTAAAATTAGATCTGTTTTAAAGCAGACAGACTCCAAATAACACTTTACTAGTCAAGAAAAAGGATCATCCATATTGGCATTTTTAGATAAGTCTGTTTTACTATGTAAACTCTCATGTGTTCTTTTGTTTTTAAACTAGTCTTTATTGGTTATTACAGTTATAAAAATTGTTTTTTTTTTTGTCCAGTTTATTAAGTGTTTATTTAAGATTTGCAAACTATAACAAACAATAAAGACTTAGTGACATTGTTCTGTTTGGTTCTAATAATCTGTGCTCTCGGGTTAAGATCGGGTACTATCAACACGTCCTAGAAGAGAGAAGGGCTGAGCATGGATCAAATTAGTAGTTCGATGTAATGAACATAAACTGTATAGTGGAGGAAAAATAAGAAAAATGTCCTTACATTCGGGTTACTAAGCTGTGCAGTGGGGGAAAATAAAAAAGATATCATTACATTTAGACTACAGGATAAAAATGATTGTTCATGGTAACCCGTGTTGAGGCCTTCTTCCTTCTAGGAGGTATTAGTGCCATCCTGTCTTGTCCCCCTCCTTTGGCATACGTTTATGCTTGGTCAACAAAAGTTGCAGTGCAGCAGAGGAAATTCGAGGCTAACAATGGTTTTATAGGGCCAAGGACAAAGTAAATTATGGGCCTCTTCCTCAAAGCACAAAGGACCTATTTTCATATTTTGTCGAATTTTTGAGGAGCCATAATACAAAATTTTTTACATTATTTTGGAGGTCAACATACGAGTTAGCGCAGGTTACATAGGCTTTGTTGAAAATTCTCAATAATAAAGGTCACTTTAGACAGGTAGTCAACTTGACAGGTTTTGCTGTATAATCAACTATTAAAACAATGTATAATCAATTATTAAAACAATTGATAAATAACCATAGAATAAAATGAGCATTTACACAAATAAACATTAAAAATGATAATCTAAATATTGTTTTCACCTCGATTTTAGAGTCCATATTGTGCCAGTCTGCAATGTTACACAATACTTGAGTAACAGTATTCAGATGTTCAACACTATCAGGACGCAAGGTGTCATCTAAAAATTAATAAATGAAAACCAAGAACCAAATAAATATCAATTTAAAACATGAATTTAAGTTTACTGTCAAAATATAAGAACGAAGTTTAAGATAAATCAGGGATGTCATTAAAGAAGATCAGAAATAGCTGACTTTAGCAGCCTGAAACATTTAAATAGTTGGTATTTAATAGCAACCTATAAACAGTTGGTAGTTAAAAGCAACCCAAAAATATAAAAATAGTTGCCTAAAACTATCAAAATAGTAGTCAAATAACTGTATTTGTAGTATAAATGGCATATATACTGAATAAAAATATGGGGAGAGGATATACGCATTTACTTACCATTCATTTTAAATATTTTATAGGTAATATTTGTATGTCTATAATTACGAAAAAAGAATCCACATATAAAACAGAAAATACATAACTAGATGCGTGTAGAAAAACAACATATAATCTGAATCTACTGCTGTTAACAGAAAAAAATGGCAAAAAAAAAAAATGAACTTCAGGGAGAAAAAATTAAAAACATTTCATTAATCGGATTGAAAACTAAATTTTTGGCTTTTTGGTGACAGTGACATATGGTAAGCACATGCTGGTGAAGGAAAAAAGGGAAATATTTTTCCTAGACACATTTTTTAAATATTATTCAAGTAACTTTACAAAAGGGGGAAAAAAATGGATAAGAGTGAAAAAAAATTGGATAATAAACCTCTTTAGGCAAAAAAAAAAAAGTCTCCATTGGCTCAAAAGTCAAAACAGTCATATTTAAGTTGCCTGCTGCAACCTCGGGTATTTTTACTAGAAGCTAATAGAATAAAAGTAGGTTCCTAACTCAATGTCCAAAAGAGTTGGCCAGATATCACAAAGTACCACTTTCAGTCTTATATAATTAATTTATTAATAAACTACACAAATGACGAGGATGGCTGCTTTAGCATTCCTCCTTTTTCACCAGGCAGAATAGTCACAAGTCACTACAGCTTTCATTTTCTTATTAGATTATTATTTTTAATAGCGTCAGATTTTAAAAAAAAGAGACTTATTAGAGATTAAAATTTTGAAAAAAAGTAAAAAGATATAAGTATTTCCTAAAATTTTTCATACCTACAATCAAATTAATTATTACAATTAAGATATATATTAAAATATATTTCTTCAAAAAAAAAATAAGAAGGAACAAGAATTTAAAATGAAAATACTCACTGTCAGGTGACACTTTTAAACCTGCAATTGCCTCAGTGACAACATCGGATACAACGCTCACGACATTGCTGAAGAATGCATTTAGTTCCTTTGTCACATCACTCTTTGACCTCAACAGATCAGAAGGAGCCTCCATCTTTGCAGGAGTCAGTCCCCCGCCAGCATACAACTGAATAAAAAGTGGCCTTTTCCTATCATAGTAAACTTTCTGTTCATCTTCACAGGGTTCTTCCTGTTTAGCATAAGTGCCAACCAGCTTTTCTAAAAACTCTGCAATTATTTTCAAAACCTGGTCCCTCCACTCCACAGATGTCATGGTAGTGCTTATATTGTCATCTAACTTCCTCTTTTTATTCACAGAATCCCCTCTCTGAAACTTCTCACTCGATATCATGTTCAGAAGGTTGTTTAGTAACTGCGTTGAATGACAAATTAAATTGGGATGAGACTTCAATAAAAAACTGAGTAAATTTATAGAGTCTTTCTTAATTGATAAATTGATGTGGGTCATCATGCAGTTCATGTGTGAGATCAAAATAGTCTTAAAAGAACACATCTGCACGCCTGTTAAAAGATCGGCAGAAGTCTTGATGATATTCAGAGCTTCTTCTCTCACTTTGGGATTAAAATCGAGAAATAGTTTGCCTATTGTATTTAATATTTCTGTAAAATATGTCGGCAACAATGAATCATGCATTTCAATGTATTTTACAATTCTCTTAAGTGCATCAGTTTTCGTTGCCACATTGTTATGGCGGGTGAGACGAATCAGGTCCTGTAATGAAAAAATAGTGTGTCAAAATATCATGAATTTAACATATTACCTTAAACAGTTTGAAATTGAAATTTCATTTTTAAATATTTTCTTATTAAAAAAAAGAAGAAAAAAACAGTGAAGAAATTTGTTTTGTGAGAAGTTCGTAGAGTACATACAAAGTGCATTGGAAATTTTGGTTAATAACCAAAATCAGAGTAGTTTAAGCTTTCAGAAATTTTTGAAAGCATATAATCGTGATTTGTGTTGATTATAGTTCAAAAAGTAACATAATTGTGTTGATTGTAGTTCAAAAAGTAACCTTTAATTTACCTGAATAGATTTACGATCAAAAATATAACAGCTACAGAAAAAAATATTTCTAAAAATTATAACGACCCAGTAACTACATTTTTAGGGGGAGTTGTAGCACTAAAAAAATTTAAAGGCTTACTATATAGATGGATAGATATTTAATTAAAGTCATTTAAATTCAAACTTGGATGAACTTACATAAAAAACTTATTTCTACCAAAACAGGGGATGTGATGGCCACAGAGATCTGGTTAATTAAAGAAATTTCCCCCCATTAAGCATTAGGAATTAAATTAATTCTAAATTAACTGCATTACATTAATTTATATTACATCTCTGTGTTCTGAACTGTTAAATAAGAAAACTTTTTATAACATTAATAATTTTAATCGTCAACCTTAGCTTATTTCGCTTCAGTGATATTGTATTGGGTTGTTCGATAATTAATGTCGTTTTTTTCATGTTTTTCAAAGTGAATTTTTTTATATTAACAACAAGCATTAATCAATGATATATTGACCATTCTGTTGGATTACCTTTAGAAAAATTCCACGTTCGAAGAATCTTTGGTTTTTAGAAGCGAAGAACTGGTCCAACTCATTTTTAATAGCCTGATCGGAATCGAAAGTTTTACCATTCAAATGGTTTTGAAGGGATCGAAACAAACGGTAATCCGATGGTGCTAAGTCAGGGATTTAGGGTGGATGTGGCATCAGTTCCCAATTCAGCTCCATTAATTTTTGACGGGTTATCAAATGTGTGTGGGGCTGGCGTTATCATGATGAAACATAACTCTTTTGCGATTGGCCAGTTCAGGGCGTTTTTTCTTGATTTCTTCGTTCAATTTTGATAGTTGACGACAGTAGACATTTGAATCAATAGTTTGATTCCTTGGAAGCAGCTCAAAGTAGACTATACCCTTGCAATCCCACCACGCAGAAAGCATAATCTTCTTTTGGTGTATATTGGCTCTGGATGTCGATTGTGGGGGTTCATCTTGCTTGGGCCATGATCGTTTTCAGACTACGTTATTGTAAACAATCCATTTTTCTTCACCCGTTATGATTCTTTTCAGAAATGGGTCGTTTCTGTAACGATTCAGCAAAGATTCGCATATGTTAATGCGTTTGGTGAGGTGGATTTCCTTTAATTCGTGAAGAACCCAAACATCCAGTTTGTTTACGTAACCAAGTTGTTGTAAATGCAAGTAAACGGTTGAATTCGATGTGTCAAGCTTCCCTGCTATCTCTCGAATTGTCATACACCGGTTAGCTTCAATTAACACCTTTATTTTGTCTTCATCAGTAGTGGTTGGACAACCAGTATGTGGTGTATCTTGCACATTAAAATTTCCAGCACGAAAGCGAGCAAACCAGCGCTGACACTGGCGTTCAGTAAGGCAGTCCTCACCATAAACTTCACACAATTTCTTCCGAGCTTGCACCGCATTTTTGCCCTTTCGGAAGTAAAACAATAAAATATGACGATAATGCTCTCTTTGAGTGTCCATTCTTAACTTAATTTTTAACCAACTTGTTGTTTACTAATGACGCTCTGGTTTTGACTAAAGAAAGTCTAAAGTCTAGTCTTTAAAATAGTATACAATATTATAAGCTATGCAATCACTACTACAGTAAATATGCAATTCAAGTCATCTATGAGAAAAAAAACGACATTAATTATCGAAAAACCTGATATATTTGAATTTTAGATAGTTTTGGTAGTTTCTCGAGTATAATTAAATGTACACATAATACTTACAGTTAAGGAAGCCGTATTTATAGGAGTTTTCAGTTTCTGATCTTTGGTAACTATCTTTTTAGACTTGAAAGATGTATTCGTAACATTTCTACCCTTCGGAAGATGTTTTCCTACTCTCAATTTTGTTGGCTGAAAATCAGGCTGCTTCTTCTTGGCCATTTTTTTCTGGAAACACGAAATAAACACTTGAAATAATTTTTAAACTATAAAACTAGGCACATTTTAGGGACCTATAAACACACACACAAATATTTGTAATAAATAAAACAACATTTTGGTTAATAAAAATTTTTTTCTTTCTTCTTTTTTTTAAAATTTTTTTTCATTTATTTTGAAAAAATATTAGCAGAATTTTTTAAGGAATAACCTAATTTAAACTTTTAAAAAATTTGTATCTTTCTTCTTTTATTTACAACATCAGAAGTTCTGAGCTTTATACTTCTAGTTTCTTATTAATTGTTATGCCAGCAGTTATCATATTTTGTGCAACTCTAGCTTCAGTTATACAGTACAGAACCCGTTATCCGGAATTCAGAAAACCGGAAAACCAAAAAACCGGAACGAAATTCGATAAATTTTCTCCCCATTTTTTAAAAAAAAAATTTTTTTTCCTCATAAGATTTTAGGATTTTTCTTTCTTTTATGAAAGATGTTTACCTTACCATCATTTTGGAAATAATCATTAGTGCATTACTCCATTGTTTTTTCTTCTTTTTAAGATTTCCAATTTTTTTTTTAGTTGGGTTTAACAATAAAAAAATGGCTTTTTGTAGCGATTCAGAAAACCGGAAAAATCAGTTATCCTGAATAGCGATGGTCCCGGATAATCGGTTCCCTACTGTATTAGTGTTTTGTAGAGCAGTTTGATATTTTTGTTGCCTTCAGTGATTGTTTAATAGTACTACACTAGCTCTCCCATATTTTTTAAAAATCTTTTGAATTTTTTTTTCCATTTTGGCTGAATACATACAGGTTTCAAAAATCATTACAGGTTAAGAAAAGAAAGATAAAAGGTCCTATTTCATGATAACCTGTGTGAATAATAGCTGATGAACTATCAACTAACAACGTAAAAATATGATGGAATCATCGAAGTCAAATGCTTCAAATTCGAATTTCTTATACCGTAGCAACGTGTAAAATAAATAGGAATCGATTTTAAAACAGCATAATGAAGCGGCTGAAAAACGATCGGAAAAAAACATTGATTTAAAAAAATCGATACGAAATAGTTATCGATAAAACTAAATGTTTTTCATCAGTTAAGAAATTTTCAACAAAAAATAACAATAATTTCAATTTTTCACAAAAATAAGCCCTTATATTAAAACCTGGCTCGACCCCAGAATATTATAGTATAGTGTTATAATTTCCAAATGGAACAGCAATCCCCATGCTTTTCATGAATTCTTAATAACGAGTTTAATTGCATTAATTTATCAAACCTTGACAAACTAGAGAATTAAGAACAATAAAAAACAAAGATAACAATAAAACATTAAGAACAAAAATAACAATAAAAAACATTAACAATTTATAAGAGATAATAAAATACCATCTATCTTACTAAATTTCTTAATACAAAATAAGAATAGACAATCTGAAGTACATTCATGCTTCTATTTGTTATGGATTCTAGCAACCATAAACCCTTTTGAAATTGAAAGTTTTATAAGTCACAAAACCAGAACATGCTATGGTTCTGTGAAATTTGGCTCCATACGAAATGGGGCAAAAACAAAACTCTTAAGCAGAAAATGTGTTTTACGGTAAATGCAAAGGTCGCAAGTTTGGCAGTCACCAAACCAAATTCCATGATTATTTTAGACAATTTCCGAATTCCCCGACTTTTCTGAGCTTTTCTCTTACCTTGGAATTTGACATGAGAGGGTTTACAGCATTCCTTATGATGATTTGAACAAGCATCATGTTTGTTCACACATGGTTCCAAAAATGTTATGACCTGAACAAAAGGAAGTGAGGGCAGGGATTTGATTGACATGGCTGATGAAGATGACAGCTTCTTGAAGAAAATCTTAACAGGTGGTGAGACATGGTGCTTTCTCTACGACCCTCAAACAAAATGTCAGTCAAGTGAATGGAAAGCAAACGCATCACAGAGGAAGAAAAAAATTTGTTTGGACAAAATCCGAGGGAAACATTTGAGGCGTTTTTCGATTACGAGGGCGTTATTCACTACAAATTTACTCATAAAGGCCAAATTATCAATAAAGAACTTTATTTAGAGATCCTTAAATGATTACAGGATGCAATCAGACAAAAAACTGATAAATGGGTTACAAACGATTAGTTTCTTTTACATGACAATAGTTTTCCTCATCGCGCACAATGTAATCAATCAGGAACACCCACTTTATTCTCCCAACCTAGCACCAGCAGAGTTTTACCTGTATCTACGGCTGTAAATGAAATTCAATGGGCACCGTTTTGTAGATTCAGATGAGGTGATCAAAAAATGCGACGAAGCAGCTCAAGGACCTCTCAAAAAATGGATTCCAGGATTATACAGTTATACCAACGAAGGAAGAAATATGTGTATGCAGGAGGAAAGTACTTTAAGGGTAAATAAAAAAAAATTATATATTTAATTTTTAATAATTTGTACTTGACCTATTCTCATAATTTTTTGACTCTACTACGTATTAGTCCTATTGCCTCGAAAGTAAAATGTTCCAAAACTATCATATTGTCGCCAAGTATTGCCAAACAGAGTCTTCCACAAGAAATGCTTTAGCTGCTATTTCTTCTCTAAATTACACTAAAAGATCGCAACTTACTTGCAAATTTTATTATTAAACTGCTTATTTAGGGTCCGTCTGAAACATTTACCTTCATTACAAAAGAATATTCACAGAATTACACACATATTTTAAAAGACTTAAGAATATTAAGAGCTTTAAATTATATGGAAATATGATTTATATTTCAATGCAGATGAAATTGAAATTAAAAAGAAAGGTCATTGGAAAAAACACTTTAATATTAAATTTAAGAAGCCTGAAAACCAATATATGTCTTTAAATAATATTAAATTATGACATGAAAATTGAAGAACAATTTGTATAACCCTGATACTTTTGTTTTAGAAGAAGAGTTTTAGAATACAAATACAATTATCATAATTATGTAATAAAGAATTCTTAAGTAGATATATTCACCTTTTTTGAAGGGAGTATTAATATATCGTTCTTTATCTGAAGAAAATAGTTAGAAATGTATATTCACGGAATATGCACAAATCTAACACACCGAAATTCTGCTGAAACTTGAAAACAAACAAACCTGCGAGATGAAGAAAGTTATAGTTAAGATTTCAAACATAAATTAATTTTTTTCCTCTTTAAAAATGATATAGACATATATTTCAGCGATTTATATATATTACAGAAAGTTTTAAAGTTATTTTAAAACTATCCATCATTAATTAAATATCATTTTAAAATGTTCGCGTTATTGGCGTGGCATCAATTAATGTTTGGAGGTCGTCCGGTGTATTTCCGTATTTCTTGTTCTTGTTATGTCAAGTCAATCAATAATATTAGCTTTGTATCGAGCTTAAAGAATTACGAATAATCTGTTACTTCTATGTAATTTAGACAGAGTATGAATTTCAAAATAATATGTGATATAAAACCAATAGTAAGCGCCTGATCTTTATTTTAATTTGTATTACTTAATCATTTAGGAATCCTTTGCGGGTGGGAAGAAGCTAATATTAGAAACTGTTGTGTTTCTTACCAACATTGCTTGTAGTATTTATTTAGTATTATTTTTAAGCAACTGTTCATCTTTAATCAGTAAGCTGTTTAATCCGTCTGTACATTTTTTAACTATAAATTGTAAAAAAAGATATTTAAGGAATAGTAATTTAAATGAAGCCATCTTTAGTCTGTCAAATGTAGTATTAATTTTTTTCACAACAATGAGTTTACTTTAAGCATGTAGACCTGTTATTATTGCATAATAATTGGGAGATTTAATTTCTTATCTTATAATAAAATCTGATTTCCTGAAGAAATGTTTTTATAATTACGTAAATGTACGATTGTATTTTAAAGTAATTTTTACCAATTCATAACTAAATTTTACATATAGGTTATATACATTTTACCTAAATTGAAAGCATGAGTTTCCAGAACAGGAAAATCTCGTCAACCAATGTAAAATATTTTTTACAAAAATCATGACATGGAATTATAAAAGAAAAAAAAAACACTTGTAATAAATTTGCCATTTATTATTATTAATTAGTTTAGTTACTGTCCTTTAAATTTTGACTCATAAAAGTCAACAGAGCTTAAAATGTATAAAAATAATAATCACTAAACTATGTGTGTCTGAAAAATATAAATTACAATGAATCTGGACTATTTAGAAAGTTGTGCTTCTATGAATATCCATATAATGAGTGCTGCAATTAAATTTTTTTATTTTAAATTCCCGTGTAACTAACTTTGAAAAGGGATATTTCTGTTATGGTATCTGTTTGTCCCTTACCCTTGTTTAGATGCCAAAGGACTATTAAGCTTTCAAAAAATTTTAAAAAAAGGCATAGTGGTTTTTCCGGAATAAGCGCTATATAGTTAATTTATTATTGTTTGTGCCCCATGGAAAAAATTCACTTATTAGATTAATTCCAGGGGTCTGTCCAGGTCAAATTTACTACCGTTTAGCTGTACCTTCACAAATTCAACTTCAGGAAAAACAGTTTCACGAAATACTTTTTCTTAAAATTTTATTATTGTATCCCGTAAGAAACGATAAATCCATATTTTTGTGTTGATGTTTTAATAAAATGTTTACATTTTCACAAATTATGTCTAAATTTTCACAAAATCCTCTGAAAAAAAACCTAGATAGACCAATGAATTTGCAAAATAAATGCTTAATGCTGAAATAATATCAATGTTTAAATTATAAGCAGGATTTTAAATTTTTTTTATTCTCTTAAGATTCATAATTTATTTAAAAAAGTTATTTTAAAAAGCTCAATTCTTCCATTGGTCAGTGAAGATCCGTTTGAAGAAAAGAGAGAGACATTTCTTAGAGAGTCAAACTGAAATAAGTGTTAATCCTAAAATATTTGTTCCAATCTAGGGTTTGTTTCACCATACAAAAGACTTAGCAATATATTTACAGGAGTACAAATTAAGATTTAAATTCCATTTTAAGATTTAATGCAATTTAAATGTCTATTAATTTTTATTTTCTCAATGAAATTATATGAATTTTTATGCTAAATTACAACACCAAGAATGTCTCCCGTTATTTTTTTTTTTTTTTAAAGTTAGTAAATAGGATTTAATAAAAAAATTATTACACAAAAAATGGCTCTGTTTGACTTTTTTTTTTCAAAAAAAATTTATAAAATGAATTTAAATGAATGATTACAATAGATAAAATCAGGGTTTAGTTTTTACACTGTGAAAACCAGTTTATACTGGTAAAAATCTTGTAAATATTATTTACCCAAGTTTCTGGACTGGTAGTGATTTGTTAGTTACAATTATTGTTAGGAATTATTATTTCTATGCTATAGCTAACATTAACAATTATTAAAAACTTTATATGTAGCTAAGGATGTAATGAATATGATAATATTCAGCCAAAAAAAATCGGCTGAGTATCAACAGGTTTATTTTTTAAAAAATCATTGCAATTTTTTATATAGAAATAAGTTTAGTCATTATTGAAAAAAAATCAAAACTTAGCTGTGTTGTTTTTACAGGCTAAGGAGTAAAAAACTTTAATAGAAATGTTTAGGATAATAAACATAGTTAGATATTTCGATAATTCGAAATATTTAAGATAAAAAATATCTTTCTTCTATTAAAAAGAAGAAAAATTCAAGTTGTAAAAACAAACAACTTTAATGTTAAAAAAACATTAAAAGAGATATTGTGTATCTTAAAATTATAAATGCTTTTAAAAATGTGAAGCTATCATAAGAACGCCTATAAAAAATAAAGATTATATGCAAAAGCCAAACAAAGAATTAAAAATGGATTTTAATTTTTGAAAGAAAAGTTTAAAGCTAAATATTTAAATTTTAGCAGAATAATTTTAATCCTAAATACTCTTTAAAAAATGCTGTCTAAATTAAAACTTTGATAAAAAGAAAAGTCAATAATAAAAAAATNTTTTTTTTTTTTTTTTTTAGTTCTGAAATATAACTTTAATGTTAAGACTCAAAGTTGTCTATGTTCCTAGTTATCTGTCTTACTATTGTGCTGAAATCTGTATAATATATTGCCTGACATTTAAAAGCCAAATCTTTTATCTTATTTAGTCATTTTCTCAGTAAAATCACTAATATAATCAGTAATCTTTTAATATCACAACCTAGAATTGAGTACAGAATGAAATCTATTTTTAGAGATTCCCTCTACATCTGCCTAACACATTAGCATGGAACTTGAAAACAGTTATATGATTGCTAATGTTTTAAATTCATTAAAATATGATATTATTTCTCACTTTCTGTACTCTCAACACATTTTAATCCATAAAACCAAGATTGTTTTTCTAACATGCAAATGACACTTGCATTTTTTTTTTAGTACACAGAGTTCTCCTGTGGGGCTTATCCCTTCAACTACTCTCTCCAAGCCATTCTCTAAATTTATTAATTTATCTGAACACAAAAATGAATCATTTTTTACTTTAGAGCTCCATTTTTCTGTAATATGATGAAGAATCATTGAGGAAGGTTGATATGGTCAATAATATTCTACCCACACACTTATCCATCAGCCAACTTCTTTTAATATGAACGTATATGCTGTAATGTAAATTTATATCTAGTGTAAATCAGCCAACAATGCTGCTTTTGAGAAGCTATGGTGTACTTTTTAGTTTTCTCTCTCTTGTTTACTTTTGGTTGTAATTTTATAAGCCTCACTATAGTATATTTAGAATGAAAAAAGCTTAAAAGAAAATTTAAAAAAAAACAAAACAAGTGTCCACTGCTGAATAAAGAGGAAAATGAAGCAGAGAAATTTTAAAACATTTTATGAATTATATTGTAGCAAATACATAACATTTACGAAATTTTTATTTTCTTCTGCAACTTTAAAAATTCAGGGATTTTATATAATTTTGTACTTTTTGTAAAATTTATAATATTTACAGCTATCCCAAGGAGTGAAAATATTGCTGACATATTCTGAAAAAATTCAAAGTAATATTTCATTCAATACATAACTTTTGAGTGATGATTTGTTTTTATATGACAAGTTTTGAAAAATTAATGAATTTTTTNTTTTTTTTTTTTTTTTTTTTTTTTTTTGAAAAATTTTGATGTTTTGTGGGAAATGAATATGGTGCATAAAAATTCTAAAAAAAATTCAATAGTGATATACCAATCCATATAGTTCTATATTTCTTGATTAAGCAATGATTTTTTTCCTTTATAGATACATTTTTTATGCTGTAGTCCATTATGAACACTGAACAAGTTGATTCAAATCCTAAAGAATCTCGTCCGGAATCTGTAACTTTAAAAAAGGGGACTTTATGGCAGCAACGTGATAAGTTCTTCAGCAGGTGGAAAGAGAGGTTCTTCATCCTAACTAGCGACTACCTGGCATGTTTCAAGAAAGCTTCCAAGATTGGAATCTCAGAAATGGGAGGTTTTTTATATAAGGTATGCCTATTCTCTTGTTTTGTTGAAAGTTGTTATTTAATTTCAACCTTAATCTCCAAGCTACTATAAAACTCATAATTGTTTCAAAAACTTTTCTGTTTTTAATGTATTTAATTCTGTTAAGGAGTAAATAATTATTTTTTTTTTTTTTCAAATCTTAGTAAATGTAACCTAAATATTTTGAGAAAGGTATTTTTAACTATTAACTAGTTATATAATTAAAACTATTATTATAATTAATTTACATTAATGAAACTGGTACAATTTTTAATTAAAAAAATTTCTTCCTTGATCTGATGAGTGGGAAAATGTTTTAGCTCTTCAAAAAATAATTCGCTACAAATACCTGACACTTTCAAATTTCATAACTTCCTAGCTGAAAAAAAAAATTTTTTTTCTTCCCTTACATGAAAACAGGGACCTGGAAAAAGACTTGTCAAATTTACACCATTCCTGAAGTTAAGAACAGTGCTTTGCAATGATAGGCAAAAAATGACTACATAAGGCAGAGCCAATTATCGATTTCACGACTAACAATGCTTGCCTGAAAGCTGGTTAAAATAATCAGTAGTAAAAAATCTGGTTTCCATTCCTCTTATATTGTCACGCAACTGATGTCAGCAAGACTCGTGTAAATAAGAAGTTACATTTGCCGCAAAATTTCTTTCCATTTTCCATGGCTACATTGAAATTTAGTCAATTAATGCAAACTATTTCAGACAGAATTGGTTTTTTCCACAAGTATTTCTTGATTTCTTCTCATTATCACAAAAATGATATGTGTTCTTGATCATTATTTTTCATCTGAGGCAAGTATTTTATTATTTTACTCTTACAGTTAGTTTCAGCTCTTTCGTGACCACCTAATTCTGATGAAATTTGTTCGAAAATCAATAATTTTTACATTGATCATTGTACAGTGAAACATCCAGGAAAGACCACATCTTTTTATGACCACTTTTAGGAGGCACAGAATTTTTGCCATGGACTTTCTTGAAGAAAACTTTAGGAGAGACTATTAAGAGAATAAGAAAAATTTTAAATTACAATAAAGAAAGCTCATAAATTGAGCTTGGGCTGAGCCATGTTTTGCAATGTGCATTAATTACTAAAAGAATAAATAGATTTTTTCTATTATATTAAATGTATAACTGGAAAAATTAGTTATTCTCCTTAGCAAAACATTTTTTTTTCTTCAAGTATTTAGTCATAATTTTATTTTAAGGATTGAAAAAAAAACTTAAATCTGGACAGAGCTCAGATTAATTAGGTTACATTTAATTTGCAATATTAAGGAGAAATTTAATCTTTCTTATGTTGTACTGATAAAAGGTTAGATTCTTAAAGTGAGATGATTTGTTATAATTTTCTTTCACAAACAATGATCAGTTTAATAATTTATATTTTTACCTGGCCTTGTTTGTCAATTTCCTTAAAAAAAAAATTTTTTTTTCATTTTCTGTGTATAAAGATTCACATTTATTTACTTGGTATTCTTTCCCTTTTCATTTAAAAAAATATTAATTGTGAGGCCCCTGACCTTTTTATCCCTGCACATATTCTTATTTGTTCATCATTACTTGCCCTGTCGATGACCAACTACAGACATTTTTTGATAAGCAATTGTGTTAAGGATAAAAATATCTTTTAGGTGAACCTTGCTGATGTTGATGATCTGCAATGGATAGACAAGAAACAAGACGGTGTAATAGCAGTTCGTGTTGGTACAGAAGATCAGTTATTGCTGTGGTCTTCTAAAGGATTGGACAATTGGATGTTTGCTCTTAGAGATGCTGTGAATCTCAGCAAAGGACGTCGTGAAGCGCTACGTAGATCTCAGACCTTGATGCCTCAACTTCCGGATGGAGGACTTATTGGAAGGTAGCAATTATTATCCTAACGAAATTAAATTGCATCCTGTTTTAAATCAGGAAATTTTTATTTAATTCATTACCAACTCTGTGGTAGAATTTTTAAGGGCTTTCTGCAACAGACCTTTCATCTAGCATTAATATCTTTCTACAAGATACTTCTAATAATTATAATAAATTTTCATGTTACTAATTTAAAGCAATAGAAAGAATATTTTTCTATTAATAGAAGCAATAGAAGAAATTATTACACAATTTTTTTTCTTCGCATTTTGTAAGTCATCATCACATAAAAAAAATTATTTAAAAATCTTGAAGTCCGTAACAGTAACTAACATAAAAAAGATCGATAGTGAAATAACTCAAATTGAACTTTTCATAAAAAGATTACTAAATGTGTGTTTCAAGATTCCGTTGTTATAATAAATAATATCAGATTTTAAAAACAATGTAGAAATTGATAGAATTATTGCGTTAAAAATTAAATATTCAAATGAGCAATTTGAATTTCCTATATTGGCCGAAATGTATAGGGATATTTAAAAACTATGTGATTTCTTTCCCCTCTGATGGCGCAAGAAAAGCATTGGCCGATGGGGAGTAAATTCAGATATGCTACTTTTCTGTAGATCCACCGAATTCCACTTTTTTACTTGATTTCCATGACAAATTTAACAATTCTGTGTTTGCAAAAATTGTAAATATTGAACTGAGAAATCATATTATACAATTTGTGAAAGTTTTTAAAGTCAATATGGCGATTCGTATTCACTCGTTTTTAAAATCCAAAATAACGATTCATATTTTTAAAATCCGATATTGCAATTCTTGTAAGAATTAAGTTTTTTCTTACGTTTGTTACTATAAAGGTGTGATATTCTTCATTAGTAGCTAATTTAATCATAAATCTTGGTTCAAAAAATTATATTAAGCATGTATAGCATATAAATTGATATCATAAAATTTTCAAGATTTTTCACTTTGTCACAATTACCCCTGATTATATCAATTGTGCATGTTCACCTAAGGAAATTAATGCATTGTTTATTTTTTAGGCATCGTGTCAATTCTCATCATTCATTATCAGCTAGTCCAGGTCCACCTGGCATTGTTCATTCTGGTTCTAATTTGGAACTTTGTAGTAATGCTGGGCCATTCATGCGATCTCTTGTAGATAAGCATTTTATGCCTTCTATCAATGAATATTCTAATAGAATGTCAGGTAATATTTTTCAAATCTTTTTTCTTGACTTTTGATATGCTGAAATAATCATCTAAAATAATATACATTGAATCAAAAATCTAAAAATATATGCGTAAAATAGTTTTTAAAGATGCATTCAATGGTACAATACTCTTTTGAATCTCACCACCAGAGGATGGGAATGGAATTATTTTCATTAGTTAATAATTAGTTAGTAGTTATGTCATCATTAGTTAGGTTTTTCAAAAATGTGTGTTTCTATTTTTTCAATCTGTCATGCATTTCCTGAGATTTCATTTTTAACCTTTTTTTACCCCATTTTCTTTTTGTAATAGCAGCACCAAAATTCAAGGACTTGTTAAAGTGCTTTTTTGTAGAGAATCTAAATCTGCAATAAAGAATTGATATTTTGAAGTTGCCCTCACGCAATTCACAATAATTGATTTCATGCAGTTGAATTTGGTATTGTGGTATGTGTGGATTAAAAATATTTTTGATTTGTATTTTTAGATTTTTGATGTAAGCAACTTCTCACTTTATTTTGCTGTATACTTGTTTTATAGTTACCATATATCTCAGTGTGTAAGTCATTCCATTGTGTAGGTTGACCCCCTTATTTTGATTACAATGAAACGTCAAGTGTATAAGTCGAACCCTGAAAGAAAAGAAAATAAATATAAAAATTTCTAAAATTAAAAAATATAAACAAAATTCAAGTGTACAAAATTGTTTCAAATAAATATTGTTTCACATCAAAACATTCTACTTCATCTATAAAATTCCATGCTGCTCTCGTGGACATCAGGGGTCAAATGATGTTAGACATGTGGCAAAGTATGAATTCAAATGGTATTGTGAAATCCTTTAAAAAGTGTAGAATTCAAATTTTTTGAACGGGCTATTTTTTGTGGGACTGAGCAGATAAGGGTGAAGTAGAATCCCTTGCTGAATGGCGACACTGCTGACCTTATTGAATCAAACACGGATGATGCTCTTTAAATTTGTATCTTTATGAGACATTTTAAAAGCTTTCCTTCAAAAGCTTTTTGATGTAAATTATCTTGTCTTTTATTATACTTAATTTTTTTCTGAACAGTATTTAGATATTAAAATTAAAAAACCTTTATATGTATAGAAAATGTGAGGAAATTTTCAAAATTAATTGTATGTAATTGTCAATAATTAATTAATAATCAAAATTAATAGCATATTAAAAATAATTTTTGAAAGGAGTAGATTGATACAAAGTTATTCATATCTATCTCATTGTTTATGTTGCATCAATATTACAGAATCAACTGTTCAACTAAATTAGAGATGTATAAATTAGTGCAGTGATTTTTGTAAAATTTTAGATAATTGAAACATAGACTTATACACAGGAATGTACAGTATTTTTACCTTTGTTTTAATATCCATGTGGTCATATTTATATTCAAGTTTTATCTGAAGGGGATTCAAATGGAGATACTGACTGTGATGCTGCATCATCCTGTGAATATTATCCTGTGACTCGACATACGTTCGGTCCTAGGCTTGCACCGCAATGTTCTTCAGGATCGCATAGTTCCTTAGTCTCTCTGGGTCGTCGCTCCGAAAACGGCCAGCTGTACAAGCCATCACCCCGCTCTCTTCAAGTGTCGCCTGCTTTGACCCAAAGATCTCTGTATGCCCAACACATCTTGTCATCTCCAGAAATCTCTCAGCCTCCTGAAACTAGACGCACAAAGTCTTCGTCGGCTACCTCAGCAACTTCGGAGTTTTCCTTTGTACATCCAGACTCTCCTGTTGCTGTGTCTTCGCTGCGATTAAAACACAACCGTCCAGGTGAATCAAAGAACAAACCGCACCAACTGTTGCAGCAACAGCAATCTTTAGGGCTTCCTGGCAATGGGTTTCGACCCTCCAGCATTTATGGACAGCCGTCGGTTGGGAGCAGCAAATTGTTGTCAGGGCAGCCTCCACCTGATGTTGTTCCTTTTGGTAATTTCAAAGCTACTGAATCTCAGTCTATGCCCAAAAGATCTGCAAAGTGCTACTCTCATTCTAAGTCAGATTCAAACTATTCTAATGAAGGACACATGCAAGCTGTTAATGGCACAACTAATTACTCTTAATAATAATTCTCAGAATTTTTTTCTTTCTTTGTTTTTCCTCTACCCATCAATCAATTTTAATAGAATCTACTCTCATTTTTTAATACATAGGTGCTTAGAATCTCTATTTATTTTAGTTTGGCTTAGACCAGTGATGGCGAACCTTTTTCTTCTGGTGTGTGTTTTTAAGGAGATCAGTTTTAAAGCTTGCTAAGTTATAGTACTACCATAAGGTTATAGTGTAGAAAAAATTTGGTTTTTTTTTTTTGTAATTTTTTAAAATTTTAACTGTCATGAATAATTTAATATTTTATCAAAATTGTTTTACTTGAAAATTTTTAATATATTTTAAAATTAAAATTCATGTATTGATATAATGATTCCATAATATTATTGATTGAAACATTTGATTAATCAATTTTTATTTTAAAATCCATTTTAAGAAAAAGATGCTCATCTTCTTAAAATATCAACAAAAAAGAAATCTTAATATCTCTTTAAAGGATAGGTTTATCTTAAATGTAAATATGGGTTCCCTGAAGTATATGAATGACTTTTCCTTCATTAATTTTTTCTGGTGTCTGACTTAGTTCACTACACTTTAATATACCTTTGACACTTATCTATAGTAATTTATGATGCTGTTTGTGTTTGACACAGTCTAGCGAATTCTGGCTCTCGGACTATGTAACTGTATTTTCAGTTGAAGAGTTTGCAAGTCGCAGGTTCACCATTGCTGGCTTAGACATTCAAACTGAACTGCATTCCCACCACTCTATTAAATGGAGTTCTGTGTCTTAGCAATTTTCACTTTGTTTTGCTGTTTTTTCTCCTTAGCCACTGTTTAAATCATTAAGCAATGAAGTTTTTGCAAAACATTTGTTGCATGTTTCATAGTGTATTGTGAGAGCTGTTTAGTTGGCAAAGCTAAAAGTGATCTGCTTAGTATTATTTATTATGTAGTTTAAAAGTCGGAAAAATTTTGTGAATGTTTGAAAATTTTTTTTTTTTTTAGGCTGAACATTGTGATTACTATTTAATTTGAAGGACTCTGTTTTATTTTTCCTGTTTTATTTTTCCTGGATGATTAGTTTAAAAAAAATTTATAGTGTCATTATTATTATTTCTTAAGAAAACTGTCTTATATCTGAAACTAGTCAGATAAAATGTAACCATATTAGTGAATTTTTCATTATTATTAATGTAAGTGTTTAATGCTGCGAGCAATAACTTAAGGAATCCTGACATATGTATATAAATATTTATGAATTTCAAAGTATAGTTATTTAATTACTAAAAAAACTAATTTTACTATAAGAGAATTGTAATTTTAATAACATGAAAATATTTATTTTATAAAAAATTATTTCTTTCATCAATTTTATTACTTGATCAAATAATATATAAGTGTAACTTGAAAATGTATTTATTTTAAATGGTTAAATGTAGCATTATTTATTTTTTTTAGTTTTACTTCCAAATATTAAAATGTTTAACTTGAAACAGCTCTTTTTAATATATTTATGTTAAATTTTTATTTATTCAAAATTCTATTTATTTATTTATTTTTTTACTTTTTTTTGTATACATTGTATTATTATAGTACTATTTTAAGATTAAATTTGCTAGACTAATGCCAATTTATCACTTAGTTTATGCACAAAAACAATTTATATTTAATTGAGAGTTTTAATTTCGAATAGAACTGGAAGAAGTTTTTAGCTCTACTTTATATTTTTGAACTATGTGACTCTCTAAGAGACAAAGTTTTTTATAATTTTCATAATTATGTGTTTTAAATAAAATATTTTCTGCATGCGCTCTACATTAAGAAATAATTGTTAATAATAATACTCAATATTCTTATTGTGTCATTTCTCTTTATTATCTGTTATCAGTAGCTGCTAATTGTAGTTACTTTTTACTAATCAAAACTTTACTTTGTTTTTAATCTTTTTAAATTTACATATTTTCTAAAGACATTTGTATCTTGATTATCATTTGTTTTCTTCTTTTTTATCCATTTAATCCAAAATTTATTGATTTGAAATAATAAGATATGAAATAAAAAACATTTTAATGTTTGAAAAATAATATTATATTGTAAATAATTATTAGACTTTAAAGGGTGAAAACAGAAGCACAATTTATATAGAATATAGCTTACATAAACTAATAATTAATTGAATCATTTATTGTTGAAAGAGACACATATAAATATAATTTATAAATCTAAACCTTTAATGAAAATAATTTACAAGCATTAACCAGTTGAAGTCATTGTTTTTCGTTATTTTTTGGTTGTGTTTAAATGAGAAGATATTGCTACTATCAATTAAATGGCTATTCTCAAGAGTTATAAGTTTTTAAATGTTACTGCAGTAGACTAATTACTTAAACAAATCATTTTAATTTAATTTGAAGATAATATTATATAATATTTAAATTCATACTCATTTAATGTATGTTCTTTAACTTGCTTACCATGGATACAGTGCCAAGAAGTATAATGTGAAGAGCAATCAAAACATGACTTTATTTTAAAAAATTGGCATGTGCTCTTTCAGCAGTAATTGAACCTCAATTTCAATATGTGAGATGTATATTTGTATAAAATACAATATCAATGTGTAAATAGTATTTTCACATCTTTTTTATGCTTCATAAAAAATATGTAATGAACATTTGAAAATTAAATGCTTCCACTGATTAGTTTCGCTTCTAATGTTAGACTACCATTTGTGGTATTAGGTTTCTTGATCCAAAATGGCTGAATTATCCATTAATTTTCTTTAGTGTTGTAAATTTGGATGTTTACCTAACATCCAAAGGTAGTTTTGGATGTTTTAGTTTACCCTACTAAAAATGCTTTTAGTAACTAAAAAAAGAAATGACTGAAATTTGTGTTTTGTTACTGCAAGTATTTTTTCTAGTTTCAAATTATTTTTCAAATTTTGTAGTTAATTTGATATAAAACTAGTAAAATTCCTGGAAAAGAATGTTATTTTTCTTAATACTCATTATCTATATAGTAGTGTTTCTTGTCTGCTAACGTTTGAATAAGAAATTGCAGCAACAATAAAGGCCAAAATGCTGTTGATGTTGTGAGTTTGAAATTTGTGATGATCCCATTATGAGTGAGTAATGACTGCTAGGACAAAAGACCTGTCCTTTTTTGAATGAAGCTTTCCTTGAACAACTTGGTAAATTTGATTATTCAACTTTTCTTGCTTTTACTCCTGTCTTAATTTTTACTCTTCTCTGACTTTAAAAACCGTTGCTACAAATGTATACTAATGATCTCTTGATTTCAAAATTGAATTTAGTATTCTGCTGAGATTTATTCTAATCTTAACACCTATTCATAGCAAACATAATGTTTTTAAAGTTATTTAATTCGGCTCAAAATTGTACCCATCAATTAATTTAACAGTAGAAATGAGAGAGACTCTTAAGATCGAAGATGTTACTGGGTTCATTAGAATATGTCAATTGATCATCAATTTATGATCTTTTAATCAACTATATATTGAGATACTCACATACTAATATGTTTTTAAAAAATGAAATACTATGCTTTTTCTTATTTGAGTAATTAGAATTTTCTAGAGTTATGAAAGCACATATGCATAACAAATTTCATTCTACTCCCTTCCTCTCACGAGCAAAAAGGATAAAATTTCAGTTGTGGATTACATATCTTAGAGAAATCAGTTAAAATTATAAAACAGAGTGTGTAACAGAATCTAAACAAAAAATGTTTATAAATTAAAAAGAGTTATGGAATGACTATTGATCATCACTCATTCAACAAGTTAAATATGTTTTCAATATACGTCAGAAAAGAGTTTGATATTTTAAAAGGAACTAAAAGTGCTGTAATTTCAAATAAAGTTATTTCATTTCTAGAAATATTGACCACATATCTTCTAAAAATGTGCACCTTTATCTGGCATCAAAACTCGTGTTTAGAAAAATCTTATCGATGTCCAGCTAAGGTGGGCTTATATTAAAAATCTTCAAGCTCAGTTCATCGAGAGGGAACCCTGGCTTATCTCTATTCAGCAGCATGTTATTTTCGAGTTTACCCGTTTGTTGCTACCATTTTTAGAATAGTGTGTGATAATTTTGTGTAGATGCATTCTCATGTCATAAAAAATAATAATGAAGAAAAAGTGAGCATTGTATTTGATTTCATTAAAAGTTTGCCTTGGCTGCACCAACAGGATAGCATTTATGGTAATTTTTAAATTCTGCAATTCTATGCAAGACAAAATATGTTATTTTTAACTGCTTCAATTCGTCACTCATTTGACGTAGTATTTTAGAAACAGGTTTAAAATGTTTCAATTTGAATCGAAGTGAGTGGATTGCACATTATATCCTCCTTTAAAAAGAAATTTAATATTTCATAAAATTTTCTGTTAACTGAGTATTCAATTCTTCCCCATGTGAGAGCAACCAATGTTATTTTTTTCCTCTGTGTAAGGAATTCCCATTTGTATTGTCTTTTATTGGTCTAAAGTATTTTTGATTGTTGTCTTGTATGGCCAGAAAATCTTAAAAATGAATCTCAAACATTTCTTCTGAAAGTTTTCTAATTTTGTTTCTCTATTTTTGTCTGTAGAATAAAGTAGAACCATAAAGTGGGACTGCTCTGACAGTTGTTTTGTAAACTACTATTTTTGTTCTTATTCTTAGATTTGGTGCTCTCCAAAATTTATTCATTGCTATCATTATTCTCTGCCTTATATCTTCACTTATACCATCCTTTTCTTTAGCAATGACTGAACTTAAACTAATCAAATGATTCTACGTTGTCTATTTCTTGATTTTAAATTTATCATTTTTCTTTTGACTTGTTATCATTGCTTTTAAAATTCTTACAGGTTTCACTATTAATAATATAACATTTATTTTTTTTTAAATTTTATTCAGACTTTTTAAATTTTCAAATCCTTTGCTATGTAAAAATAAATATACAACAGACAATATATGTTTGTGAATTGTAGATAAAAATAAGATTTCTGAAGTAAACAATCAGTTCAGTACTGATGCTTTTTGACAAAAAAATCTCTAAAGTGTTTTGAGGGTCAGCAATTCTACCATTAACAATAATACATTTATATATTTTTTATTCATTATAAACTAAATTTAAGAGAGAAGTGAATTGTTACTTTGTTTTCTGTTAAAAATATTTCTTTTTATGTAAAAAAAAGAATTAAAATAGTAAAAGTATACATATCACTCATTATTATAATTAACTCTTAAATATTTAATATTCTGTAATTC